TAGTAACGCACAGCTTCTTACACAATTCTGCCATCTATAAATAGCAGCAGCCGTGTTAATGGAAACTCTGGCAATGAAACGTCAACACTCGGTGAAGCAGATTTTTTTTATTGTGAAGCAGCAGACCAACATGAGGCATAAGCTTAGATTCGCTTAACATTAGCACCATTGGACTAAAATATATCCGCAAATCCCAAGCGAGTATCAGGAAGAGGTATGGGAGAGCATAACCACAAATAGAAAAATGAAGACGGAAAAACATTTCAAGAATTGCATTTTCGGCAGGCATGGGGGGAAAGAGTCTCTTTCAATCTGGTTTTTACATACTGAACCAGTAGTACCTTATGGAAAGACTGCACCAGCACCATTTACAAGTATGAAAATGCTCTAATTTTTTGTCTTTTAAGAAGATGGGTTTTTCTGTATATTTTTGTATCAGGAACGACTTGAGAAATTACAAGTCGCTTCTGGTGTGAGAGAATTGGCCGTCTGCAAGAATGTTGGCCAGGGGACGCCTGGATGTTTTGATGTTTTACTATCCTTGTGGGAGGTTTCATGTCCCCACATGGTGAGCTAGAGCTCACAGAGGGAGCTCATCTCACTCTCCCCGGATTCAAATCTCTGACTTGTTGGTCTTCAGTCTTGCCAGCACAAGGGTTTTACCCATTGTGGCACTGGGGGCTCCTTCTGTGTAATGATTTTTGGCCATTGTTGTTAGGGGGAATGTTGCAGACTGAAGAAGGTTGTCTGGCGGGGATGAGAAACAGGGCCTTCTCAGTGGTGGCCCCTCAGCTGTGGAATGCCCTCCCTAGGGATATTAGATCAGCTCCTTCCCTCCTGACATTTTGAAAAAAAGTCAAAACTTGGCTCTTTGAGCAAGCTTTCACAAATGCAGCGTAACAGACATATATGGAACTATGGAACAACTGGACGATGTGACTGGAAAACGGGTTTAATAAGGAGATGCTGATGATTTATGTTATTATTGTTTTTATATGGTTTTTATATTATATGCTAAATGTTTTTAACTGTATTTTTATGTCTGCCGGGCATCAAATTGTTGCTGACTGTAAACTGCCTTGAGTCGCCTTCGGGCTGAGAAAGGAGGTATACAAATACTGTAAATAAATAAATAAATAAATAGTGGAAATTCAAAAATCGGTTTATACCCTGATATCCCCACTCACATTCCTCCACTGCATCAGAAAGGTCTCAACATATATACATAGAAGAAGTATATTGACATCCCCAAAAATTACAAGAAGGGAAGCTAATCTTCAAGAAAAATAAGGTTTATGTGCAGATAGTCTATCTTCATTGAAATGGGACCTCTTCCATGGCTGAGAAAGCTTTGTGTGCCCATCAAACCGATTACGGGGCATTTTGGGTACCTGCTGATCAGTAGTGTATTGTGTAATATCATGGACCCTGGTCAGGTTGAGGCTGAAGCACCTGGATTGCAGCTCCACCATCCTTTGTCACTGGGTCTGGAGCTGGCCTCCACAATCTGCCCCCCGCCCCAGCTGTTTTGGCCTCCAACTCCCAGAAGCCCAAAGACCAGGAATTCTGGGAGTTGGAGGTCAAAACAGCTGGATGGCCTCAGGTTGTGCAGGCCTGCTCTGGAGGCTCACACACTTCCCATCTTGACGCTAGACAGATCAGGCCATGTGGAACTGTCTTATTTAATTTTAAACAATGTATGTGTCTTAAATGGTAAGTATCATGCTTATCACATGTCACGTATCATATGGTTGGGGGACATTCCTTACCTCGATATGTTGTCATTGTGTCATTTCTGATTTTTGATACCTGCCACAAGTTTTCTGGGTATGATTGACTGTGTGACTTGCCCAAGGTCAACCAGTGAGTTTCCATAGCTAAGCTGGGAATGGAAGCCTGGTTTCTGTAGGCATAATCCAATGCTCAAACTATTGCACAACAAACACTGGTTCTCAATTTAAGAGTGAGCATTTGTTTCTAATCTTATCTTCAAGTCTACCATGCTGTACATTGGCATATAGAACTCCAGATGTTGTTGAACTGCAACTTTTTTCATGTCAGGAACTACTTGAGAAACTGCAAGTCGCTTCTGGTGTGAGAGAATTGGCTGTCTGCAAGGATGTTGCCCAGGGGACACCTGGATGTTTGATATTTTATCATCCTTGCGGGGGGAGTCTCTTATGTCCCCGCATGGGGAGCTGGAGCTGACAGAGGGAGCTCAACCCACTCTCCCTGGATTTGAACCTCTGACCTGTTGGTCAGCAATCCTGCCAACTCAAGGGTTTGATTTATTGTGCTACCGGGGGCTCCAACTGTAACTTGCAGTAGCCTTAGCCACTTACAGAAACTGGTGAATAATGCTGAGAGTTGATGCCCACCAATATCTGGAGAGCTGCATACTGCCCTTCCCTACAACTACAATCTCCTTTTTCCTACAGATTGTCAAGGTAACTTAACTATTTTGGTCTTTCAGGCTTGGATGAGCTGATTTTAATTTGAGTAATTTGGTAAATCTGAAAGGATTCGGTCAGATTTTAGTGTAAGAAGTAATGTGAAATAATTGTGTGATTCCTTACAAAACCACTCCAGTTTTCCTAAATTGTAGACGTATACCTCTCTACACATTGTCTGTTGTCCCCATAATAATGCACGTTTCTTATGAAAATTGATAGTCTTTTTGAAAAAGTAGATAATTAGATATATGATACTGGAAACACTGCCGTTTCCAAATTACAGAATTTATATTTCAAAATACAGATCTTTTACTACCCTGTCAAAGTCCTGATTGGTCTTATTTAGACCTAATGCAAAAACTGAAATGGTGAGTCTATATCTTCCACCATGGTTGAGCTACACGACATCCCTTCCCCATTCCCTCCAGAAGGCTCACCCTTCCCCGGTGTTCCTTTCAGTCATGCAGTGGCTGGTGGAGTGGGGGAAGACTGAGTAGTGTTTGGATATATAGTCATATAGCTAAATACACAATAATTATCTCCCAGGACCTCTGGGACCCATAAGAGGTCTTGGGAGATGGGGTCCCATGAGAGAAAATTGGGGTCACATAAAATTGGTAACAGTCAAAGGGTTCTGAACACCACCCAGTGGCCAACATAGACATTTACACTAATCTGGTAGCAACAAAGTGGACCCTGCAGCCTTGCAAGCCTTGCAAACAATGATTTATTATCAATAAATATTTGCTTTTTGTGATTATTATAGGTAAAGGTTTGCCCTGACATTAAGTCTAGTTGTGTCTGACTCTGGGGGGTGGTGCTCATCTCCATTTCTAAGACAAAGAGCCGGCGTTGTTTCCAAGGTCATGTAGACTGCATGGAGAGCCATTACCTTCCCATAACAGTGGTACCTATTGATCTACTCACTCTTGCATGTGTGAATAGATCACACAGAGGTTGTGAGGTCTGTTGGAAACTAGGCAAGCAGGGTTATATATCTGTGGGATGTCCTGGGTGGGAGAACGAACTCTTGTCTGTTTGAGTCAAATGTGACTGTTGTAGTTGGCCACCTTGGTGATCATCAAGTAGCCTTGCAGCTTCAAAGCCGGCTGCTTCCTGCCTGGGGGACTCCTTTGTTGGGAGGTGTTAGCTGGTCCTGATTGAGTCTTGTCTGGAATTTCCCTAGTTTTTGAGTGTTACTCTTTATTTACTGTCCTGATTTTTTAATAAATACAGTTATTAAAAAACTCTAAAATCAGGACAGTAAATAAAAAGTTCTTCCTCCCACCCTGGACATTCCATAGATATATTAACCTCACTTGCCTAGTTTCCAAAAGACCTCACAAACTCTGAAGATACCTGGTATAGATGTGGGCAAAATGTCAGGAGAGAATGCTTCTGGAACATGGCCACGCAGCCCGGAGAATTCAAAGGAACCCAATAACTAGATTTGCTTTCCAAAACTTCAGATTCAATGTAAGACTCAACATACCATCAGTTAAATGGCACAGAGGTGAGTACTGCATTGCAAAGGGACATAATAATTAAGGAAATGGAAATGTATTTAATTTTTTTACAGCATATGGTGCCATGTAGCTGTCAGTTTGTGCAGTAGTCCATGAGATGATGTTGTGGTAACAGAAGAGTAAATGCCCATTTGGTGTCAGTCAAAAACTAAAGACTTTTTGCAGACTGTTTGCATTTGTATTTTCTAATGGCTAATACAACAGTAGGAAGCCTGGTGAAGAAGCTTCTTTTGCTTGACAAGACACAGGTACAGATGTTGTTGAGCAATGACTGGGTAAGGATGGTGGGAGTCTGAGTTCAACAGCATCTGGAAGACCACAGGTTCCCCATCTAAGCCTTAAAGACACTTGTATACAGAAAGAATATACAGTTTTGTCCTTGACTACTTAATGAGAAAAACTCAGCAGCAAAATGCATTCTCTCAGGCTCTTATCTCCACTTTGGCAGTTACTAATCTCATATTCAAAGGGGCTTTTTGATTATTTTCCAGCTCAACATACCAATAGCAATCAGTGTAGCAACTTCAGAATCGGAAGTGGATTCACAGAAAACCAGTAGGAGTCTTTCGGCCATGGCTTGTTATATGTTGAGCACAGTACTGACTTTTCAGAGGCAGGGCATGCAGTCTGAAGTCAGTGTATTTGGACCCCATGCCATTAGCCTTTAGAGCAGACCTAAGAAATCCTAACCAGGAATGCATTGCATTGGATATTTCACTGAGCACCAACCAGAGCTCTGGATTCCTATTACTTCTACCTTTCCCACAAGACAGCCGATGATATGGCAGGACAGGGAATCCAGTGCTCCAGCAATATAGAGGGATACAAATTAAGAAATAAAGCAATATAAAAATTGCTTAAGGTTTTCACAAAGAAAAAATGTTTCTGCCTCTCAACAGGCAAATAAATACAAACTTTCAGGCAAGGCTGTAGCAAATGATTTTCTAATGTCTTGTTCACAAAAATCCAGTGTGAGGCTCAACCAAGGGGAAAAAAATTGCAGCAACAAAGGCCCCAGAAGGAAAGGTATTAGTCAGGTTTACTGCATTTAGAAAGAGCAGAGGAAAATAAGATAGAAAGATGGGCAATGATGGAGGAGAAGATGCTGCTGTACCATCAATAGTATGCCCCCAGGAGGACAGATGCCTTCTGCAACAGGTCTTTGTGGTTCACATACAAGGGGACTCTCTTGTCCACAACCTGCCACCGGGCAGTCACTTCAAGATCACAGCCCTGGAGAAACTGGAAAAACAAACATGACAATTGGTTACCGACAGTTTTCTTTCAGCATCTTGCAAGCCAGGAGGAAGCAGTCATAGTTCACACATTACGGGGAGCATGGAAGAGTTGGATATTGGAACTACCACACCCAGAATCCCCCCCAGATTTGCTTAGTGACCAAGATCCAGCAGATTCTCTCAGAACCCATAACACGGCTAAATAAGGGACTACCGAGTATGTAAAGACACCTGCAGAGAATAACCATAATACATATTGCTGAGATCTGCTCTGTTTCATAGAAGCATAGAGTTGGAAGAGACCTTTGAGCCATCTATTCCAACCCCCTGCCAAGAAGCAGGATCGCATTCAAAGCACCCCCCACAGATGGCCATTCAGCCTCTGTTTAAAAGCTTCCAAAGAAGGAACCTTCACCACACTCTGGGGCAGAGAGTTCCACTGTTGGACAGGTCTCACAGTTCTGTTTAGAATAAGAAAAAGCATTATGCTCTATATCTGACTGCATGTACAATGCTGACAGTGTTTCTGTATAGTATATTATATTCTCAGGAACCTTAATCTAATGTATTGTAATTACCAACCAACATACAGTTAGCCCTCCATGTTCACAGCCCTCCATGTAGGATCCCCACAAAAGTAGAACAGTCCAGTCTAACTGCCTGCCAAGAAGCATAAAAATTGCATTCAAAGCACCCCCGACAGATGGCCATCCAGCCTCTTCTTAAAAGTTTCCAAAGAAGGAGCCTCCATCACACTTTGGAGCAGGATGTTCCACTGCTGAACAGCTCTCACTGTAATGAAGTTCTTCCTAATATTCAGGTTTCCACCTGAATCTCGTTTCCTGGAGTTTGAAGCCATTGTTCCACACCCTAGTCTCCAGGGCAGCAAAAAACAAGTCTTCTTCCTCCTCCCTATTACTTCCCCTCACATATTACACATGGCCATCATGTATCCTCTCAGCCTTCTCTTCTTCGGGCTAAACATGCCCAGCTCTTTAAACTGGGCACGTTTTGTAGATTGTGCAACATTTCATGCTACCCAATCTACAAAAGGATGCCACCTGACTACCTCCCACACAGAGTCTCAGGACTTGTATCCATAGGCATAGAGACAAAATCACTACTATGACACATACCGAGTTCATACGCTTCATCTCCACATCATTGTGGTCTTCAAAGTGCACATTGATGGCCACTGTCTCTATCCAGGCATTGTCAGTATTCCTGGGGTCATCCATATATCCTTTGTATATCTATAGAATGTGGCATAAAAGCAAGATGGAAAGACAGAGACAAAAAGGATGGTATTTATTTACACATGTGTTGAGAATGCTCTGTGATTCCAAAGACTGCTTGTCTCACAGTAAAGGCACTTCCTCTGTGTTGAAAGACTTTTGTGTCTGGCTCTGCTCTCTTTCCACTAGAAAACAATATAAAGAGCAGGATAGGGAAGCTTTAGCCCTACAGATATTATGAACTCCATTCCTTACCAGCCCTAAGCAACCTGACCAGTGATAAGTTATATTGGGAGAAGCAGTTTCTCAGTACCGACAAGTCTGAACATTCCTCGCTGCTGTTGCTGCACAGCACAGTGAACTCTGGCACTGCAGGTATCTTTAAATGTGTATGGCAAAGATAAAGAAGGGGCAACCAGGAGCTCCCCTCTTTGATTCTGATCTTGTTTCTTGATGTTCACATACCTCAGTGCCCTGATTCAGCAATTTCTGAATTTGTGGCCAGAATTCACGTCTCAGAACCCGCTTCAACTTCTGTGGGAGTGCTTCACCTGGCACCAGAGAGCCCTAGAATAATTCAAAACAGGACTATGTATTAAGAAGCAGATAAGCCTTGACATGGATTGTGAGAACAACACAAAGCTAAGAAAGAAAGAATATCTATTGGGAAACATTTCTCTGATGTAGAAGGGGAGATAACACAGGCATTTCTTAGTCATAGAATATTAGAGATGGCAACGGGGGAGGGGGGGTAAAGGTTTCCCCTTGACATTAAGTCTAGTCGTGTCCAACTCTGAAGGGTGGTGCTCATCTCCATTTCTAAGCCAAAGAGTTGGCATTGTCCATAGACACCCCCAAAGTCATGTGGCTGGCATGTATTTTGTGTGTCAGGAGCAACTTGAGAAACTGCAAGTTGCTTCTGGTGTGAGCTAGAACATGGGGAGCTAGAACTGACAGAGGGAGCTCAACCCATCTCCCCAGTTTTGAACTGCTGACCTGTCCTGCCAGCACAAGGGTTTAACCTACTGCGCCACCAGGGGCTCCATGTGGCTCCATTTGGCTGGCATGACTGCATGGGAAGGATAGATTAGGGGAAGAATATGGGGAGGTGGAGGGTTGGTTGACTTCCCATCTTCTACTTCGTGGGAAATTTGCATGTTTTCAAACTGCTAGGTTGGCAGAATTCCACTCCTTGAATTCGAACCACCAACCTTTCGGTCATCAAGTTCAGCAGCTCAGTGGTTTAACCCGCTGAGTTGGGGGGAAATCCATATTATTTTCAACTTGTTAACTCGCTGTTTCTAAATTTTTAACAAAATAAAAAATTTAAATTTAAACTGCTAAGATGGAAAAGCTTGAACATCTGCAAGGGGTTTCCATTGACTCTTAGCCCTAGAAGCCCTCTGAATGAAAGTACCATTGATATCATGCTAAAATATCGTGCTAAGTTGCTGTTGTATGATCAAGTCATTTCTGACTTATGGCAATTCTAAAGGAAACTTATCATGGGATTTTTGGGGAGCTAGATTTGTTCAGAAAAGTTTCCTGTTGCCTTCTCTCAGAGGTTGAGAGAGTGTGACTTGCCCAAGTTCACCCACTGGGTTGCCCTAGCTAAGTGGGGACTTAAAGTGCAGTTTCTTGAGTTATAGTCCAGCACTCAAATCACTACATATTCTCATCTTGATAAGTGCAATTTTGGGGCTCAAAAAACATCTAGCCTGGTTATGACAAACCAGTGAGACTTTTGTGGCCTACAGGAAGTAAACACAAACTAGGGCAGAGAGCAAATAACACAGGTTCAGTAAGTGAAAGATACAGCCAACACAATTAATGGCTTTTGTGGGCAGCAAAATCCTACAGAATGCAATCCTGGGGTTTTTTTAGTAGCACACAGTATTGATCACTGCAATTTTATTAAATTGTCAGACAACACCTTCTTCAAACAGATATTCAGTAAATTGCTTCGTAATTACTTACTCCTGGTAAAGCCCAGTGATCTGAAAAGGGGAATTTCACTACCAAGACTTCCAACATTTTCTTTAAGCTTTTTCTGTAAATGGATCCATCCACATTCCTCCTCCAGCTACAAACAATAAAAGAGAGAGAGAGCTATCACAAGGTGTCAATCTGTGTAAGAATTTAAAAACAATGCTTGATCATACCAAAGTACTTTTAGTCCAACATTATGTTGCATAGTGATTAAGCAAAAATACCTATGAAAACCATACCAGAGTCAATTATACTTTGGGGGCGGGGGGTAATGACTATGAGTTCCAGAATCCCCTTGCTGACATGTCCAGTTGATTATGCCCTCTTCAATCCTTAAATTGCTCATGTTGCAGTGAATTAAAACTTCAGTTGAGTCTTTTGGCTAACCCTTCTTAAGCATTAAAAAACAGACAGGTAAAGCTGTCAAGGAAATGCAAACATATGAGAGTTCTAGGTGTGAATGAGTATCAATTTGGAGACTGAAGGTAAATTTCACTAGAAGATAGCAGAATTCCTACTGGAGAGGCCAAGACTTTATCTAGCCCATACTGTCACAAGAAATATAATGTGCAGATTTGATAAATGTGGATTTGATATGTATGGATATGAATGGAATTGTATGGAAAATGAATGAATCACAGCTAATAATTTTGGAGACACCATCTAAAACATTAAGGCCTGCAATGACTAAATCATTAACTACCTGCTTGCTAGACTGTAATTAAAAGTTGCTAATGAGAACTGAAATTTTAAACTGCTGACATTGATAAGAACTGTGACAGTGATAAGAGAAATGTTTACATTTGTCAACATTTGCTGACCAGAAACCGGATTAACTCTAAGGGAAATTATCTCTGCTTACATTAATAAATGACAATGCTCTTTAAAGTCCAACCCAGAACACAATGGTTCGTTACCTGAAGACAAACATCTATGTCAAGAGGTGAAGACTCAAGATAACTTCAACAGGACAATTATTTACTACATGAGCAGAATATTCCTATAAAAGACTCAATCTAATAATTCTCAGTTGTGGCAGACCACAGGAGTCTGGTTCACCCACTATGGTTTGCTCCATGGAAAGGACAGAGATGGTGTATGGAGTGTGTCAGATTTGCTATGGGGAAGCAGGATTCTGTACACTTTGGGCTTCTTTCTCAAGGGAAGAGGAAGGAGTGCCTTTTGGAGTCAAGATACGTTGCAGAGGGTAGGTTTCTGCTGTGGTGAAGGCACGGATCTGGTTCTTGGCATTGTTCTTAGGGAAGGAAGTTTTGGTGCTTTGAAGTTTCAGCACTATGCATTGGCAGGCTACAAGGAAGCAGGGTTTGGCCTAACAGGTGTGCTTCTCCAAGGAAGGAGAAAAGGATATGATAATATTTGGATGCATGCTGAAGGATGAATGTTCATATGTGTGTGAATGCTGAGTAAAAATGTAACCCCTTTCTTTGTTAGCCAATATAACTGTAAGTTGTGAATTCAATATGGTTACATAGAATCTGTATGTCCAATGTAGTTATATGTCTAATCGTTGTTCTGCAAAAGTTCTGATATGTCCTCTCACACTGAAAATTGTAATAAAAAGAACCTAGTTTATAAAGTATTTATGACAATACCTCAAAAATTCCAAGAGTTGTAATCCAGACCAATTAACTTTTCCAAGATCTAATCAATATCCTCTCACTTAGCTGGTATTCAAAAATATTTTGCACCCAATAATGGAGCTGGTATGTGCCTGCTATGGCTAATAGAAAATAATAGTCTTATCCTTCATGAAAGGCAACAATCTTGAACAAAAACTAAGGAATTCCAGTTACTTCCTTGAATTCTACAATTGGATTAAAACTGGATAAAAACACCATAGTCACTTCAGTAAGAAAATAAATGAGAAAGCGAGGCCCCTGAAGAGAAGGCACGGAGCCACTGTGGTGAACTTCCCTGGTTATTAGTTATTAGGTTCCAGACATAATAACAAAATCTCTACTGCCAGATCTTGGAGCAAGAAAGCTACGTGCGGCCCCACCTGACCTGCACAAGTCCATTTTGGGGCCAGGAACATCCATGTTTCTTTTTTTTTCTATTCTGGAGTTGTCATGGATACAGCACTACAGCTATAGCCAACCACTGAATCCTAAAAAAGTGCAGTGAAAAGAAGCAGGGCACTTCACAATATATGAAAACAAGATGCTTCCTAACATCCAATTAGTATAAACCTGTCATGAGGGGAAATGCAACCAGCTTCTCTAAAAAAGGAAGCAAATAAATTGCTCTGTAGCAGCAATATGGACCAAGAACAGATGCCTGCCTCTTCCTGAGCAGAAGTTGTGTTTCCTTTCCAGATCCTTTCATGGTTTCAAGCCATTTCCTTAGCACAGAACTACATTAAGCATTTGCAGGTGAGAAATAATGCCCTGCAGCTGTACTCACCGCGTCACAACAGGATGAAGTGCATGATTTGGCCCAAAGAACCGAAGAATCCCTTGGCCCCTCATTCCTGTCCTTCCCATGGGATTCCTGTCAAGAAAAACAAAGCAAAAAGACCCAAATTGGTGCTGCCATGGACCACAATGGTTTCATGAGAGGTGTGCCCCTTTCTTTTTAAAGAAATCACCAGGAGTGCCCCTTATACCATGCAGCTGTGGACAAGTCTACATAGGGACCATCAAATGCAGCATTGCCTAAACACGATTCAAGGAACATGGAAGGCACTGCAGACTAACTCAGCCAGAGAAGTCAGCCATAGCAGAGCACCTGATGAACCAACCTGGACACAGCATATTATTTGAGAACACAGAAATGCTGGACCACCCTAACAACTACCATGTCAGGCTACACAGAGAAGCCATTGAAATCCACAAGCATGTGGACAATTTCAACAGAAAGGAAGACACCATGAAAATGAGCAAAATCTGGCTACCAGTATTAAAAAACTCCAAAATTATAATAGCAAATAAAGAACACCACCCAAATACAGGGGAACTCCAGACAAGAGACAATCGGGCCAGCTAATCACCTCTCAACAAAGGATCCCCCCAGGCAGTAACAAGTCACACCTAAAAACTGCCCCGCCATCTAATGCTAATCAAGGTGACTAATTGAAACATTCACACCTAGCTCCAAAAGACAAGAGTTCTTTCTCCCACCCTGGACTTTACACATATATAAACTAAATTTTCCTTGTTTCCAACAGACCGCACAACCTCTGAGGATGGTTGTCATAGATGCAGGCAAAACATCAGGAGGAAATGCTTCTAGAACATGACCATACAGCCCGAAAAACCTACAACAACCCAATCACCAGATGAAGGAGAGAAAAATGAAAGGCGTTTAAACACAAGCTATTATCCTTAACGGGGCTTAATCTGAACTCAAATTAATCCTGGAGAAAATTCCTGTTGCTATGGGAGAGAGAAGATTGGTACTGAATAAACTCTTCTCCAACAGAAGCTAAAAAATATACTTTGACTGACAGAGCTCTGAATATGGAATGAATAGGAAATGTAACATATCTCAGAATAACCCTTTAGCCTGAGGGAGAATGAACACTTTTCTAATACTAGTTCGGTCCTGTATAGCTTCAAAAAGGAGAAGATTTTTGCAGTTTCAGGCATAGATCTTTTACCAGCCTAAGGGTTTGTCTACAAGAAAGAAAAAGCCCTGAATTCACATCCAGTGCTGATTGTCTTCATGATGCACAACAATTTCTAGACAGTATCTCAGGTTGTCAGCCATCATCCTGACATTGATCAACTTCAGACAAAGTTGGGGGACACTCCAAACTGTAGAGTATTTTGGGGCTTGATGACCCTCTGGACACTTGGACTGGGTGTGTATTGGTTGATCACAAGGGCATCCCATTCTGATATCAGCAGATGCAAAAGGTTAAGGGTAGGCACTTACAGGGAGCTGTGTGGTTAGCAAGGAGTAGTGGTGGGGACACCAAGACAGGCCAGCCTATGGACAAGCTGGACTGTTTGGACATTGGGCACTGGACCCAAATTCAGCAGAAATCACCCAGAGTAACCTGCTCTGTGTCTACCAGGCAAATGTGTATCCCACAGTCTGGATCATTGGGTTCTTCTCAGACTATACTATCCAAAGGCCACCTACTTTGGGTTACTGATATTATTCACCTACTCTGGTGAAAATATCTCTCCTCTTTCCTTGTTCACTGCAGAAATATAAAAACCATGTACCTAATTCTATCTAGTTTAAGCAGTCATCACGCATGTTGTTAGAATGTGGGCACTGCTTTATTTTGTCTAAAATCATGCATGCCTCAACAAATATTTTCACCCTGTTCTGGAAAGATGGAATTTGGTGCATGATATGCTTTGGTTGTTTCAATGAGCTTTGGCCAGTGAATTAAGCTGCTCAAGTGCTGTGCAAGTCTTCCTTGTTACATCAGGTCATAGAATCATGGAATCATAGCGTTGAAAGAGACCTCGTGGGCCATCCAGTCCAACCTCCTGCTAGGAAGCAGGAAAATCACAATCACAGTAGGTGCTGCTTCGAGCTCCTTGAATAAAGGGCAGGATATACATTCAGAACTTGGAAATACTAGACCATATTGTTTACTTATGATTTCATTTTTCTAAGAATTCTTTCTGATTCTGTTGGCTAGAGATTCTGGGAGCTGTCATACAAAGAAGTTATTTTCCCAGTTTGATTAAATGTAATAGATAATCATCCAACCATGGCTCAAAAATATTCAAAAAAAGTTATAAACCATACTTTGATTATGCCATTTTATGAGCCCCCAGTGGCGCAATGGGTGAAACCCTTGTGTTGGCAGAACTGCCGACCGAAAGGTTTGTGGTTCGAATCCGGGGAGCGGAGTGCGCTCCCATCTGTCAGCTCCAGCTTCCCATGTGGGACATGAGAGAAGCCCCCCACAGGATGGTAACACATCCAGGCATCCCCTGGGCAACATCCTTGCAAACAATCAATTCTCTCACACCAGAAGTGACTTGCAGTTTCTCAAGTCACTCCTGACATGAAAAAAAAGCCATGTTATATAACTACTGCGCTATTAAGTACTTGAGCATTCACAGAATTTGGGATCCAAACTGGAATCAAACCCTAGTGCATGTAGATTGTAAAATATATAAGATTGAAACACAAAGATATTCAACTGAGGATGCTGGTTGGGGGATTCTGGGAGCTGTCATAAGAAAAAGTAACAGTTCCTAGTCTGAAGGAATGTGATATATAACAAATAAGATCTGTAAACAAGCATATTCAACAGAATCAGCATAAGGAAACTAATGAAGTATAGTAAAATTAGACCCCAGTCTAAACAATCCTTCTTCACACATTACACAGATCAAGGCCAAGGCAATGATACTCATCAGATAGATTACCCATACTGGTTTTCATTGTCATACAGACTTGCATTTGCAAATACGAACAATTAAAAGAGCAATGGATCTTTAAAATTTGTTATGCTCTGAATCCCAAAGAGCTTGTAGGCAATGTGTATTGGCTGTGCTTAGCTTGTGATTCATGGTGATAACCTGCTTCTAGCATAGAAAGGGGACACAGTCATAGAGATTCTCATTCAATGTTATTAGATTCACTCACAATGGCAGGCCATCTTCAACCAAATAGGTACCATGAAAGCTCTGTCTGTTGATGTCTCCATCCATAGTGTTGAAGTTTATTCTTGAAAGATTATCCAGTGAGCTGAAAGAGATGTGAGGAAAGCCTTCAACTCCTCAACATCTGAAGTAACTGAAATGTCACAAGCCAGCGCAATGGAAGAAAGGAAATTATGCAAGGATGAGTGACAGAAACAGAAAAAAGAAGAGCATATAAAGAGCAAAGGCAATGGCAGGAAAGGAGAGCTCTTTGATGGCATACTTACTCTCTCAGAAATTCAGGTACAGCATTCTCTTGACTTTCTGGACTGTAGAAGAGTGGATTGTAGATCTCAAACTCTATCTGTCAGTGGAAAAGGCTGTTTCAGATATACCCCAGTATCTTCTATAATGATACTTAACCATCTCTCAAGTACAAGATGGGAACTCAAACTCATGTGTAACCTTTCTTGGATTCAAATTTCAGAGAGCTCTTCTCATTGGCAGCACATTGGTGGTTTCCCCTCAATATTGTATTATCCTGCTTGTGAGACCTCTGAGAGCTAGTTACTGCAGGGAAGTGCATAAAACACACAAGCATGATTGCACATACATGATGAGCCATGTATGTAATAAAGTCACCGCTCTTGACAATTTGTCCTTCTAACTTTAGCTGGACTTACTCTCCAATCAGTGTTTCTGGCAAGTTGGCTTTAGTATTATAATCTGTATTTCAGCTACCAGTATTGAAAGTTATTAAATAACTCTTTAAAAAATCACCAAAGCTCTTTCCCCCAACAAACCCTAGAACTGAATGGAGAATTTATCAAACCTTTTTGTGATGCCAGCGGAAGCTGAAAAGACTGTCTTAGGGTGCACCCACACTGTAGGATTAATGCAGTTTAACACCACTTTACCTACCTTGGTTCAATGCTGTTTAATCATCAGATTCGTAGTGTTACAATGTCTTTACCCTTTTCTGCCAAAGAGTGCTGGTGCATCATCAAACTACAAATCACAGGATTACATAGCATTGTGCCGTGGCAATTATAATATGCTGTTAAACTGCATTATTTTTTACAGTGTAGATCAGTGGTTCCCAACCTGTGGTCCATGGACCACCAGTGGTCCACAAGAACTAAAATATAGTCCACGGCCTCACTGTTACTACGCCGTTGCAACAAGAGTGACTGGTCTTGCAAAACTCTTTTGCAATGCCGAGGCTTATTAAAAAAATTTTTTGTGGCTGAGCAGATGGCGACTACTGGATGGCATATGTTCTGTATCAGAAACTAGTGGTTTATCCAATGCAATTTTCTGAATTAATACCCCAAATAGCCAAACTGAATCAAAAGTTGACTAAAACCTGATTTGTAACCCTTTTGGTACAAATGTTGGAGAGTTGTCCCTGGTCAAGTGGTCCTTGGTCAAAAAAAAGTTTGGGAACCACTGGTGTAGATGCATCCATAGCCTTCCAGTGTGGTTGAACCTGGATATAACACCATATCTGTATCAGAAGATTCACACACACCCTATCTGTGTGTCAGCCCATATATACATACACATATACATTTTAAAATGGTGCCTGATTTTAATTGATTGCTGTACTGTTACATAAGAACGTATTTTATTTATTTGATTTGAATCCCACTTTTCTTCAAAAACTGGGACTCAAGGTGTAGCATTGAACAATGTAATTAAAATAGTGTAAAACTGCATCAAGAAAAACAACTTGAAGGCACACACAATCAACCTGTAGTCTCCCTGAATCATAGTCTCAAAACTAAAACTACTTAATCATATTGACTCTCTACCTTCACCTTGCTGAACTATTATTCTGAGCATTCTCTGGGGACAATGTATTAATATGAAGTATAACTATGTCCTAAGTCACATATCATTATAGGCACAGACTCTTGTTCTTGGCACTGCTCTTTCCTTTCTGGTGGAACTAGATCATGTTCCTGAAGAATGCAAGACTCCTACCTCCCAGGGCACTTTCTCATCTGGCACAGGAAAGCGGACAGCATTGGAGGTTGGATACAAGAGGTGCCTTGCACTCACATGGTACAGGGCATGGAAAGATTCTGGGACTTCATCTTCAGGAGATTCCTTCATCTCAGGGGCTTTGCTGGGGACTAAATGAAAACAAAAAGGCCTTTTCATACAACACATAATCAGTCTGTGTGAATTACACTATGCCATGTGTCTGTTTGTCTGACTGGTTTGAATTTCCACTTCTGTGTACATTCAGACTGAGTTTTACAAATACTACCAACAGTTATAATTAATCTCCCTTAACACACTTTTTTCCAAGATAAAAAGGCAGGATAAGATGAAGGAAGCAGTGGGAATACAGAGGAAAAATCCTGGGATTTTTTTTTACAAAGTCTTTTGTATTCTTTCCTAAGAATGTTGATGTATCACCAAACTTCAGCTCCCAAAGATTCCATAACATTGAGAAATGGTAATTAAAGATCCAGTCAAACTGGATTAATTCTGAGACCAATCCTGAAAAACGCTTCCCTTGACTCCTCAATATTGAACAACTATCGGCCGATTTCAAATCTTCCTTTTCTGGGCAAGGTTCTGGAGTAAGTGGTTGCTTCTCGGTTCCAGGGATTCTTGGACGAAACTGATATGGATCCATCGCAATTTGGGTTCAAACCTGGTCATATTACCAAGACGGCTTTGGACGCCTTGGTGGATAACCTCCACAAAGAACTTGACAGGTGGAGTGTGACCTTGTTGGTTCTCTTGGATATCTCAGTGGCTTTCATAGTATTCTTCTGGAGCGGCACTGCAGTGGCTCCACTCCTTCCTGGAGGGCTGAACCCAGTCGGTGAAGCTGGGGGATGCCTGCTCGGACCCCTGGCCTTTGACCCATAGGGTCCCGCAAGGTTCCATTCTTTCCCCTATGCTCTTCAACATCTATATGAAACTGCAGGGTGAGGTCATCTGGAATTTTGGAGTTTGCTGCCGTTTATTTATTTATCTCTATGCAGATGACACTCAACTCTACTACTCCTTTCCACATAATTCCAAGGAAGCTCTTCGGATCCTGGACCAGTGCCTGACCGCTGTGATGGGCTGGATGAGGGCCAGCAAGCTGAAGCTAAATCCTGAAAAGACAAGGTCCTCCAGGTTAGTCGTTCAGGTGGCAACCTGTGCTCAATAGGGTTACACTCTTAACACTTGACACTCAGGTGTTGGCTGTGGCTGGGAGGGCCTTTGCACAATTAAAACTTGTGTGCCAGCTGTGACTGTACCTCGAGAAGTCAGACTTGACCATGGTGGTCCACGCCTTAGTTACCTCTGGGATGGATTATTGTAATGCACTCTATGTGGGGCTGCCTTTGAATACGGCTCGGAAACTGCAGTTGATGCAAAGATCGGTGGCCAGGTTGCTAGCTGGAACAAGTTACAGGGAGCAGTCAACCCCTATGTTTAAACATCTCCACTGATTGTGATAAGTTTCTGGTCCCAATTCAAGGTGCAGGCTATCACCTATAAAGCTCTAAATGGTTTGGGACATGCCTGTCTTCGTGACCACATCTTCCCCTACAAGCCCACATGATCTTTAAGATCTTCTAGGGAAGCTTTTCTCTCACTTCCACCCCCATCTCAGGTGTGGTTGGTGGGGACAAGAGAAAGGGTCTTCTTGGTTGTGGCACCCTGGCTCTGGAACTCCCTCCCCAGAGAGATTAGACTAGCACCCTCCCTATCCACATTTCACAAAGAGCTAAAGAAGAGGATGTTCACTTGTGCGTTTGATTAGACAATTCTCAATTTAGATCCACACATCTCTCAGAATCTGAGTTGAACAAGCTTCCTGTTGCAGGGCATCTCAAGCCCATTTTCTGTGATATCTTCTTTATTCATGCTTCGGTGAAGGAAACACTTCACTTATGCAGGAGGAGTATGTGAAATACATCAATATGCAGGAAGGGGGAGCATGTCATTTGTTAATATTTCAGGAAAAGTTGATATGAGATGGGTATATCTATTTTGTGATCAAGTATCAGAACCAAAGTATAAAATATCCTGTAAGAAACCTTCAGGTTCATTTATTTGCAGCCAGACATACCTATGACAGGAGTATCCTCCTCTGATCCAAATCCACTGCTGGATAGTGATTGAACAACCCACCGAAGTGCCTTTGCAAACTGGAAGGACTAGAGAGAAGCACATTTGTTAATGACTGCAGTAATCAACTAGCATTTCTGCTCTGAAAATGGTTGAGAGGAAAGAAGGTGATAAGACGATTGTGTTGAGCCCCAAAAGAAAAAAAAATAGTTTTCATACTGCTGACTTATGTATATGAGGTCTAACTAGAAATCTCCTGACCCAACCCAAATTAACCATAATACTTCATAATGAGTGGACCTCTAGCTGTGTCTGTCAGTCAGAATAGTGGTGGGAACTTATGGAAATTGTATCTATCAAAACACATTGAAAGGGCCCAATCTGTCTACCTCTGATAAAGGTGAATGTGCCACACTTCTTGTCTCTGGGCAATTTAATGGCAGAAACCAGCTGGAATGTGGGTATATAAGGCTGTTTCATGCTACACACTTATATTATTATACTATTATTCCATTTTGACTGATAAAGCAACGTTCAATGAATTTCCGGGATTTGCAGTTCATAGAATATGTAGAATTTTCTTGTAGAGCATATAGAAAATTGTCTTGTTTATAGAGTATATATTCTAATTCAACTGTAGGATATGGCATCATCCTGTGGAATTCTGAGATCTGTAGTTTAAGAAGGATCATTTTTTATTCTTTGCAAGGGAGTTCTATTGTCTCTTTAAACTACAAATCCTAGGATTCTCTGGCACTATAAGTATGTAGAGTGAATGACCCCATGCCACACAAAGAAGTGACCACTGTGGCTGACAAGAAAAAGTGCCTGAACTCCTTGGCATTCTACTCTTTTCAGTTCTCTGACAGAGATAACCTACGCTCTGACACTACTTCCACAAATCTGACAAACATACCTGCTCTTCCAGATATGTCAACTTCTGCTCCACCAGCCCTGTCCTTTTCACCTGATCACGATCCAGCATTTCTGCCAGTTGATCCATTCTGATATGTAAAAAAGAGAGAACTACTTACTGGAGGTCAAGACAAAAGAGAAGACCATTCTAATTTCATTACTTTGGTGGTATAATCTACAGTCCCATTAAATGCAATTTAATATTGACCAAGACATTAGGCTTGGACCCAAATTAGTTTGACCAAAAGGGATTTGAAATATTTAGTGGTCCGTTTCATGTAATAACCCAAAAACAGAATGGGGAGGAGGGAACCAAAAAGCTAAGCAAAACAGATAAAGAGAGTCAGTTTTAACAGCTATTGTAGAGGATGAAGTTAAGTCTGCATTATACCTGAGGCAGGAGTCTGCTGTGGGGCTCCTGGAGAAGATCCTGCAGCATCCTTTCTCTCTCCCTTGCAGTGAAAAAGTTCCCTAGGCTCTTCCTCCAGAGAGGGCCCTGCTAGGAACTCGCTTTCTCAGCAGCACTTGCATGGGGCAGGCATTGAAAAGTCTCTGAGTTCCTCTAGAGGCATGATGGCAGTTGAAGTTATTCTGTGTGTGTGTGTTTCTTAATCAATAAAAGGCTTGGTTGGGTCCATGCTCTGATTGGCTGAGAATGGACACAGCCGATGACTACAGTTCTCAAAACATTCTCCTACGGATTGTCTTATTTTTAAAAAATATTATGGTAAAAACTTTAAAAATTCTAAAAAATCAGTAGATTGGTGAATTATTCTGAAACTTGGCAGTCCTGTAGTTGTAAATGGGGTCTAAAACTGAGATAGGTTTCATACATATAGACCTTAAAATGACTGAGGATTGAGCCTTTAAAGTTTCCCATTGTAACCAATGGACCGAATCTTTGCTAAATGAGAACAACATTCCTCCGAATTTGAGTAACTTTTTGGTTGTTGGGAATCAGCCTGTGTTTGTGTTTCAGTATCCTGATGTGGGAAATGATGAGGGAAATGATGAGAGAAATGATGGTGCTGAGGCTGAGGTACAAGATGGAGATGGTTTGGTCAATGATTTTCATGCAGACAATGACAGAGAGGCCCCAGTGCAAAGGGCAGTTTCCCATGAGAATATTCCTGCTGGGTCTGGCAATGATGGTTCACTCCCTCTCTGTGTGAGTTCTTAAGATTTGGGTTTGGAAAACAATCTGACACCTGGGAATTTTAATGAGCAGCCAGAGCCAGATAGGGAGCTGAAGAATAGATGGCTGGAGATTAGCCAGGATCGATAGCAAACTCAGTATCTACGTCACTCTGAAAGGCTTCGTCTGATAAGGGGTAAATGTGGGGGAAAGCGAAACCAATTTCTGAGTTTTGGGTTATAAGGTTTGCCTCAAGGGGAAACCTGTTAGATCAGGCATCATCTGGAAATCAAGTTCATGTGCTATGGAAATCCTGTTCAAGGGGTCATGTTCCTATGGAGTTTTTTTAGCCTTTTGGATTGTCTTTGCATCCTATTGATTCCTGTTTGGACAAAATGCTGCCCTTGGATTGCTTTTATATCTGGTGTGAACATTGCTTTGTGTTACTACCTTTTATGGATTTATTACTTTTTGGAACTTTCTTATTTTCTTACAAGTATTTATTTCTTCTGGCTATTTACTAAGCTTCAATAAAAGAAGTTTTGTTTCTTCACTCTTCATGTGTTGTGTTTTAAAGTCAGAGGACTTTTTTCCTGATCTGGAGTGCAACACCGGTAAACAAAATGAGGGATTTGCTGAAAATGGACCCCGAAATGGCATGCCTTTTGGCCAAATTGCACACCTCTACAAGACATTATACCCTCACTGTCAGTCAATGTGTAGAGTACCCCGCTTTTTAGCAGCTGGATAGAAATTCTCAGAATGATCTCTTTCCCATCCTCTGATATTCAAAATATAATAAAACATAGATAAAGTAATGAATAATTTACAGTCTAACAAACTAAGAAAAGATGCACGATTGCTTTGTTCTGAAAGACATCCACCATTTAAAATAGAAACAAGACTTGAAAGAAGGTGGAGAAATGCCCTCCAATCAGCAGTTGCAAATGAACACAGGAATTAATTTTAGACAGAAAGGGGTCAGCAAAACAAGACAAGCCATGGAAGCATACAGAATGGGAACTGAGAAAATAGTAAATTTGCAAAGAAGACAGGAAAATTAAATAGAAACACCAAATGCATAAATAAGCAGAAAGTTAATGGTAAAATCCCATATACAGTTGAAAAGAATGGGAGGGGAACAGGTAAAAATACAATGGTCTTTAGCCTTCTCTACCAAAGAATCCTGGTGCCTCACCAAAACTGCAACTCCCAGGATTCCATAGCATTGAGTCGTTGTAATTAAAGGAATGTAAAACTGCATTAATTGTACAGTGTAGATACATCTTCTGTCTCTCTTAAGAGACATGCAGTTAGGGATTCCTATTATGAATTGCTTTCCAACAATTCCCAGAAGCAGGACACCCGCTATTTAGCAAAGCAAGGGCATTACCTTTCTGCAATGTCCTGGAGCTTCTGCTCATTGTTTTGCTTCTGTTGACATTGTTGAATTTGCAGATAGTTTTCCTTCATATACATTTCCCAGGACAAAAGAGCTGCTTCTTCATTCTTCTCAAGCTTCTCTTCTGCAGGTCAAATTACACAGAGGAGAAAATTATATCAATGCAATTTGGAATTCAATTTACTATCCACAGGTTGGGATCCTGTGTGCTAAAAGGCCATCTATCCTGGACATGAAAATTTTATAGAAAGCAACTTCAAGAAAATGTATTTTTGGAAATATAGTTAGCTTATATTAATTTAATGACTGTATACCTAACCCATATCCATACCTTATATTCTCATCTCTTTTGCTTTTTCTTCTTCTCTCTTTCTCTGATTTCCTTTTTTTCCTGCACTTTGAAAACTATTTTTACAAAAACTATTACACACACAGGCATCATTTCACCCATGGGCTTTGTTCTGAAATTTATCTAGTAAGAATAAAAAGATTATGTAAAGAATGATTTAACTATTTGAACCATATGTGGACATAATATCCTACAAATTACCTAAACCAAGTGTTTTCTGATTACTTAGGCCCCTTCTACATATCTGTATAGAATCCAGTTTATCTGCTTTGAACTGGATTATCTGGCAGTGTAGACACAGATAATCCAGTTCAAAGCAGATAATGTGGGTTATCTGTGTGATATCCTGGATTATATGGCAGTGTAGAAGGGCCCTCAGATAACCCAGTTCAAAGCAGATAAAGTAGAATATCTGCCTTGATATTCTGGATTATGTGACAGTGTAGAAGGGCCCCCAGGTCACTTCTATACTGCCATATAACCTCCAGATCATCTGCTTTGAACTGCATTATATAGCAGTGCATACCATATAATCCAGTTCAAAACAGATAATCAGGATGATCTGCTTTGATAATCTGGATTATATTCAGTGTAGAAGGGGCATCAGTGGTAGAATTAACAAATCAGTCAAGGATTATTGGATGAATAAAGGTTTCTAACACAATATTCCTTGACCCTACGAACTCCAGATATGGACCCATCCTGGTGGCACAATGGGGGAACACAGTTAGTTTTGACTTTTTAAATGATAATTTGTGTCTCTCACTGATATTGGGGATAAAGAGAGGAGAACGGTAATTTCAAAACAACTGTTACAATGTGAAAGGTAATACTCAGAGCTCTCACAGTGCCATGGAAAGGACCAGCTCATATTTTCCGCTGGCTAGTGTTCTGTTTTTGTTTTTTTTGTTTTTTGCCTTCATTATTATTGTTGGGTTGGGGAAAGCATGAACCACATACGTGGGTCCCTCCCACAACTGTTTCTGATGATTCCCCAGAAACCTCCAGTTTTGCATTCTGCATAGAAAAAGTCCTCTCCTAAACACCACTGTGAGTTGAAATGTGTAAATAGCTTCTTACTAAGCTGCTTGTGCTGAGTGGCTGGCTTCCGGAGGACAACCCATTTGATGAAGAGCTGCAGGTGATTCAGGAGGATGAAGGGTGGTGGAGCTGGGGGTCTCCCATGGTATTCCTCAATCAAATCATGGCGCTGAAACTTCCAGATCTGATCAGTGTGGGCCTGCACCTGCTGAAATGTATAACTGGAAAAGAGGCAGAGTGGAAGAATTACATCTGTCTTGCAGTGGTCACAACCACCTAAATATTTATTAATATATATAGGTTGCTCTCTTTGCATTTTTTTGTGGTCTGATGCATCAAACAGAAATTATTACTACTAGTTTAGCACATTCAAGGAAAATGTGCCAGCATTAATCAGAGAAGCCCTGGTGGTGCAATGGCTGAAGATTGTGCCGGCATGGCTGAAGATTGACAGGTCGGAGGTTCGAATCCAGGTAGAGCACGGATGAGCTCCCTCTGTCAGCTCCATGTGGGGACACGAGAGAAGCCTCCCACAAGGATGGTAAAACATCAAAACATCTGGGTGTCCCCTGGCCAACATCCTTGCAGACAGCCAATTCTCTCACACCAGAAGCAACTTGCAGTTTATCAAGTCTCTCCTGACACACACACACACAAATCAGAGAAGCAGGAAGGAGCAGGAATGTAAAGAACGCTTGTAAATGTTCTCATCCCTAGTAAGAAAGATACAATATCAAGATCACGCTTACACGATGCAAGATTTTTCTCATTTGGGAACATTTGAGTTTCATTTTGATAGAAAGGTGGGATATCAAATGGATAAAGAAACAATCTTTTTTTGCAAAATTATTGGGGGGTTTTCCCAAAACAAATACATATTAGTCAAAATGTGTCAAACATTGTTTTAATTGAGAAAAAATGCATTCAAACTCTCCCTCTGGGGAAGAGAGAAAATGAAAATTATTTGTTCTGACATGATAATGAATTAAGTGAAGGTTCACATTCCTAATAAAAGAATGGTTCCCAAAGTTTGGTCCTCCAGCAGTTTTGGACTTCAACTCCCAGAAATCCCAGACAGCTTACCAACTGTTAGGAATTGTGGGAGCAGAAGTCCAAAACACCTGGAGAACCAAAGGTTGGGAATCACTGTAAAGAGAAGATTAGTGTAAAAGCTGGCTTGAAGTACCAAACTCACTTGAACATGGCGATGAGGAGATTGAGGAGGAGGATGTTGGTGAAGAGCAGGTAGAGGCATAGCAAAATTATTGTCAACCACTCGGGAAAGAGGGGCTGCCCATTGTATTCAGGGCACTTCGGCTTGTAGGGATCTGTCCCGTTTGGGCTGCACTGATCAGGGTTGAAGTTAACGCCTGCCAGAAAACACAATGAAGACAACAAATACCAAGTTGACCAAGCAATAGGTGGAATCTCTTCCGGCTTCTTGGCTTATTGAGAGTAATCTGAATCATCGTATCTATATCAGATAATAACATACTTTCCAACTCTGTTGAGAACGGGGGGGGGGGGGGGAATGAACACCTTTGAAAGGGTAGAATGAATGACTCAACTGCATATTAAGTGTTTTTTGAAAACTGGCAATAAAACAAGCATCTGAGTCACATCATCATACCTGCCTTCTACTAAGAAACAGGATCAAGATACGCTGCTACTGGACTGAGCTGCCAGTGAGAGAGACAGGAGCTTGTCTCCTGCGATTGCTTGTTTGGAATGCTATTTATAGCAGCAAATGAAGACGAAGGAGTGAGGAGCACAGCACTGCAGTTGCCTTGGGACTGAGAAGCAAATGTTGGTGCAGAAAACTTCACATGTTGTTCCATCATACCAGAATTGGCTAAGCACCAAGCCAGTTTTCTCATAATGTAAAGACAAGCAATGTGGAGCAACAACACAATCACTGTTTAGACAGGATACTTCGTATTCTCAAAGACCATTATTGCGAACTAGCCATCCCCTGCCATGTGCTGCTGTGGCCCACATGGGGGTTCTGTGTGGGAGGTTTGGCCCAATTCTATCGTTGGTGGGGTTCACAATGTTCTCTGATTGTAGGTGAACTATAAATCCCAGCAACTACAACTCCCAAATGTCAAGATTCTACTTTCCCCAAACTCCACCAGTGCTTACATTTGGGCATATTGAGTATTCGTGCAGAGTTTGGTCTGGATCCATCATTGTTTGAGTCCACAGTGCTCCCTGGATGTAGGTGCACTACAACTCCCAAACTCAATGTCAATACCCACCAAACCCTTCCAGTATTTTCTGTTGGTTATGGGAGAACTGTGTGCCAAGTTTGGTTCAATTTCATCGTAGGTGGGGTTCAGAATGCTCTTTGATTGTAGCTGAACTATAAATCACAGCAACTGCAACTCCCAAATGACAAAATCAATTTTTTTTGAGTGAAGAACATAGATTGGGTTGTTAGGTGTCTTGTGTCCAAATTTGGTGTCAATTTGTCCACTGGTTTTTGAGTTCTGATAATCCCAAAAACAAACATTGCATTTTTATTTATATAGATGTGTGTGGAGGGAGAACCATGGTCATATGTCTACCCTACTAATCACTCATTTACAGTGTTACTTCCTTGGTACTTCTTTTAGACATTATGGAATTGGTACCCATCTTTTCATGTCTTGGTACCAACTATAAACCGTCACGAGTCGCCTGCGGGCTGAGAAGGATGGTATATAAATGCAGTAAATAAATAAAGAAATAATAAATAAATCTTCTAAGCCTTTTTAGAGCTGTTTGAATATAACTCCAATAGTAACGGGATAACCCCCCCCCCCCCCAAATCCTGCCTCTTTAGGCAAAAAAAAAAAGTGATTGTGTCAGTCATTCAAATAGGACTGCGTGTGTGCCTTCCACTCTCCAGTCAACTTATAACAATCCCGTGCATTTAAAAATATTTTCCTAGGCAAGAAAGACTCAGTGATGACATTGCCAGTATACGTAAGTGGTCTCCCATCCAAGTACTAACTAGACTTGAGCATTTAAGGCAGGCACAGGCAAACTTTGTAACATGGGGGCCACATGGCAGGCCAGAGCAGGGTGGTTGGGCTGGGAAGGAGGGGGTTCTCCCCAAGCCCCTCGCTGCCCTTTCCTCCCCTTCTTCTTCTCTTTTGGAGGCAGAAAGTGAAGGAAAGATGGGAAACATTTGAATCCCAAAAGGGTTGGTCTTACTCAGGATGAGATGGTGGATGGGAAGAAAAAAGTGTATGCATTGGGCTCCATATTGCCTACTCCTGATATAGAATTCTAGAGTTGGAAGAGACCCCCAAGGGCCACCCAGACCAACCCCCTGCCATCCTAGAAGGCACTATCAAAGCACTCCCAATAAGCCTCTGCGGAAAAGGCTCCAGAGAAGGAGACTCCGCCATACTCTGCCGAAGCAGCCTATGCCACTCTCCTAATCTTCCTAATCTTTTCAGTCGAATCTCTTTCCCTGCCATTTGAAACATTGCTTCCTTGTGCCCTGTTCTCTAGAGCAGCAGAAAATCAGTTTTCCTCCCCTGCCTCCTCAATGGGACACTCTTTTATCTTGAAACACGGTTCTCATGTTCCCTTTCTATTTTCTCTTGTCCCAGCTAAAAAATCCCCCAGAAGGAAAGGAAGAAAAAGAGAAGGAAGGAAGGAAATGGAAGGAGGGAAGGGAGGGAGGCAGGGAGGGAGGAAAGAGAGAAGGAAGGAGAAGGAAGGACAAAAGTGTGGAAGGGAATGGAGGGAGGGAGAAAGAGGGAGGGAAGAAAGAGAGAAGGAAGGAAAGACAAAAAAGGAAGGAAGGAAGGAAGGAAGGAAGGAAGGAAGGAAGGAAGGAAGGAAGGAAGGAAGGAAAAAGAGAAGAGTGAGAAAAGGAAGAGGGGAGGAAAGAGGAAGAAAGGAGAAAAGGGTGGAAGGGAAGGAAGGAAGGAGGGAAGGAAAAGGAGAAGGAAGGATAGGATAGGATGGTGAGAGAGAGGAGGAGGGCCTGAGAAAAGAGCCCAAGGGGCCACATCTGGCCCCGGGCCTGGGTTTGCCCATGGCTGGTTTAAGGATATTTATGTACTTTATGAAATGTAATTGTCTTTTCAATAGAGAAGTGGGKTTTTTTTTCAAGCTCTGAAATCTCCCTGTGTAATTGTTCTTTTAGATTCAAAGCCTCCAGGTCTAATATACAGTATCTGAAGAAGAGAACTGTTTCCACAAAAGTTTAAACAAGTTTATCTAARTTTCTAACAGACATAAAGGAATAAAGGTTTTCACAGGCTTCATCAAATGCATGTGATATGGACTGCTAGAATAAACCAGTTAGGSTCCTTCCACATAGATGAATAAAATCCTATATTATCTGCTTTGAACTGGAATATATGGCAGTGTGGACTCAGATAACCCAGTTCAAAGCAGATATTGTGGGATTTCTGCCTTGATATTCTGGGTTATATGACTGTGTGGAAGGGCCTTTGGTCTCAAAGGGACTACTGGATTTTTTATGCCTTTTCATGCTGAAGGAGACTAACATGACTATATCTTGGGATATTATTTGCAATCAGTATGCTTGAATACACCTACTACTCTATATCCTTACATTTAATCTTATCTGTGTGCTACTCTAAATGTGTTTTCACAGCTTTTGCCAGACCAAATTACAAGGCAATTTTGTCTTCCATACCGTCAATGTAGGTAGGGATCTGCCCAAAAATGGTCAAGTAAGAATGATAGACAACGCCTCGGAAGATCCAGTCCACCCGGTTCTCATTGTGGATCAGGATGGCTTGCTTGGCCACGCCAAAGGATACCACCCAAACAGCCAATAGGAAGAGGAAGAAAAAGACGTCTTTCATCTGTAAATCCACAAAAACAAGGCAGAAATTGTAGGTATTTGTGGTGGAAACGGTGAATGCCACCCACCAAAGCATCTATGGTATCCCCATTAGAAAAGGTACACCAGGGACTGCATGCAGCCACCAAAGTGCTTACCAGTGGAAACAACTCACCATCCTTTTCACTATGATGATCTTGGGGCCTAGAGTTTTACTGACTGTGAAAATGTGCATCAAGCGCAAGCAGAAAATAGTAAAAGCCAGAGATAATATGATCCTTCCAGGATACAAAGTGGCTGGTATCCATCTTAGGAAGAGGAAAAGAAACAAAAGCCAAAAGATATGTCAGGACCATGTTCACAAAGACAATCTTCCCCAGATACTACATCTGCTTCTCCCAGCTAGAGAAGACCCACTGACTGAATGGGGACTTGGTAATTCAATCAATAATCCACTGTTTCAGTGGGTCTACTCAAGGATTCAGATCAAAAAAGCCTGACTGAATATGTGCCCTTGTAGCAAACAGTAGTTGTTCAAAATGGGCCAGCCCCAGTGTTGGGAAATGTTCCCTATATGGCAAAACACCAAGCTGGATCTGGCTATTATGCACTTGATTGATTGGACAGATGTGGAGTGTTTTGATCCTTGGATTGAGGCAACAAAATGGCTTGGGCTGTGTGCAAATAAGCAGTGGTTCCCAACCTGCAGTCAGTGGACCACCTGTGGACCACAATAACGAAAAAATTGTCCGTGGCCTGTTACTACGAGAGTGACTAGTTTTGTGAAACCCTCTAATAGTGCTGAGTCTTATTAAATATGGTTTTCTGTGGGCGAACAGATGGCGACTACTGGATGGCATATGTTCTGTATCAGAAATTAGAGCTGATGTGGTAGATCCAATGAACTTTTCTGAATCAGCACCCCAAATAACCAAACTGAATCTAAAGTTGACCAAAAACTGATTCATAACCCTTTTGGTACTAATGTTGGAGAGTGGTCCCTGGTCAAGTGGTCCCTGCTAAAAAAAAAAAAAGGCTGGGAACCACTGAAATAAAGGAAGAAAGTTAAGAATAGGCTTAAGTATCCCTAGCACATACTCTCTAACTGTCCTTATTTGTCAGTGACAGTCCCAATTAATCCTCTGTTGTCCAGTTTTTAAACTACTTCTAAAATATTTCTCTCTTCTCCTTCCACTTGCCTCTGATTTCTGATTTCAAAGACTAAAAGTAGTTTGCATTTACTTAGCAGGAGGGAGAGGCAAGAAGAAAAGCATGAAATGTTGCCTTCCCAGGACATTCAGGCAAAAGCAAACTGCTAGAGCCTCTTCAAGCTTGGTTTTTTTTATTCTTTGTTAATATCTTTTCCCACCTTGCCACATATCCCAGTTTTTGTTCATGAAATGTTGGAAGACAATGCTAGCACAGCAATGCCTTTCTCTGTTGGGTGGGGAACTCAGGGAATAGCAGTCTGAAAACGTTTCTAAGCTCTGCTTTTGAAAAGCTAAAATATGGATGTAAAAAAATAACAAATTATCTCATTTTTTACAAGAAATGTGAGTGTCTATTCCACTAAGATGTTTTCCCTAAATAACAATCAGGAGACTTTTAAACAAAAATCTTTTGTATAAAATTGCATTTTGAAAAAAAAATCTGTTTGACTCAAAATACTTGTGAAAAAACCTACCTCTGTTTCACAAGAAATTTTGACACCTTTCTATATTTTTTTTCTTCAAGGATGCATGAACAAAGAAGTGAAGTTTATGTTCCTGTGCTTAAGAGAATTTGATCAGAAACAAACAGCGAGAGAAGCTAATAATACCAATCTGGTTAAATAACTGGGGGGAAATGTGTAGGAGGAACTGCAGCAATCTGCTGAACATAATGTGGATGTTTTCATAGTGATTACAAAGTTGGCTTTTATGTAATAACTATGAAAATATGATGTAAGCATAACTCTACTCTCATGGCACCTGAAGAAAGTAAGGATTACGAAACAGCTATCCATAACTAGACAGATTTTTTTTGAAGTTGTAGTATTATGTGTTGTCGAAGGTTTTCATGGCCAGAATCACTGGGTTGCTGTGAGTTTTCCAGGCTGTATGGCCATGTTCCAGAAGCATTCTCTCCTTATGTTTCGCCTACATCTATGGAAGCATCCTCAGAGGTTGTGAGGTCTGTTGGAAACTAGGCAAGTGAGGTTTATATATATGTGGAGTGTCCAGGGTGGGAGAAAGAACTCTTGTCTGCCTTAGGTAAGTGTGAATGTAGCAGCTGGTCAGCTTGATTAGCATTGAATAGCCTTGCAGTTTCAAAACTTGGCTGCTTCCTGCCTGGTAGCCAGATTTTGTTCATTTTCATGATTTCCTCCTTTCTGTTGAAATTGTCCCTATCTTTGTGGATTTCAGTGGCTTCTCTATTTAGTCTGTCATGGTGGTTATTACAATGGTTCAGCATTTCTATATTCTCAAATAATAAACTGTGTCCAGGTTGGTTCATCAGGTGCTCTGCTATGGCTGACTTCTCTGGTTGAGTTAGTCTGCAGTGCCTTTCATGTTCCTTGATTCAGGTTTGGGCAATGCTGTGTTGGTGGTCCCTATGTAGTCTTGTCCACAACTGCATGGTATACGGTAGACTCCTGCATTGCAACATTCACATTTGCCTCAGGCAGACAAGAGTTCTTCCTCCCACCCTGGAGATTATTGATTGTATAGATATATAAACTTCACTTGCCTAGTTTCTAACAGACCTCACAATCTCTGAGGATGCCTGTCATAGATGTGAGGGAAACATTAGGAAGAATGCTTCTGGGACATGGCCATACAGCATGGAAAACTGACAGCAAACCCAGCTGTAGTTTTGATTTTCAAAAGAAAACAAATATCTCAATTCCAAAAATTCTCTGTCCTGTCCCCTTTCTAGGAAACGTAATTGGTGTGACAGTAATAGTAACTCACCTGCAGGTTAGTCCAGCTATAAAGATTAGGATGGCACACACATCCAATTTGTTCCAGAAATCATTAAGATACAAAGACACCGTTTTCCAAAAGCCAAACCCATCTGGATCATAAAAGATCTGAGGAAATAAAAAATGGCTTTACAGATGGGTTCGTATATAAGAATCTTTTTTCAAAACCTGGGCTTAGGTGTTTCCTTTCCCTCTCTCTTGTGCATTGAATCTTTGCAACATTTTTGGTAGAGAAGGCTAAAGAATGTAAAATTACAACTCTCATGATCCCATAGCATTGGGCCATGGCTGTCAATGTGGTGCCAAAAGGCATTAATTCTACTATTAAGATGCATCTCGGGCTGCAGGGGAAGGAGAACTGCCTTAAGGCAGTAGTCAGAAGCTACACCCCACTGCTTTTTAGCATCACTGTCAACACCAAAGCCCTTTAGGCTTTATCCATTTAGTACCTGACGTGCCTCCTCACACACTAAGGAGAAGAGCCAGAAATAGATGACATATTCCCTCCAGGATGGAGTAGCCTGGAAATCTATCATTAGCACATAGGCAAAGAGGCAGAGGAAGGTGAAATAAGAAAGGATGTTGAGGTGGAAGATGACAACAGGAGTTGTAAAGAAGGCTCGGAAGCGGCTCAGACAAGTCATCGGTTGGAGCCTCTTCTCTCTGTTCAGCAAAAGAAAGAAAGAAAGAAAGAAGGCAAAAGAAGGAGTGACATAATGTTACTGTAGCTGGCACTTCTCAAATGTGCATGCCTTCTTCATAGCAATATGCTTGGTGTGTTTAGGCTGAAATATGATGTAAGGGATTCTGGTAGAAAATTCTTGGTTCACCAAAGTTTCATCCACCCAAATTTCTGCCTCAGAAAACTTAGCTCCATCTTGCAAGACTGGGGGAATTACACACTTGAGGCTTATAGATGTGTGCTTGAATTCCTCTGCCAAATTTATTTCATCTTGCATATAACATTTTCCCATTGATTGCATGGTCTTTTGCTCCCCCTATAGCCATCACTTCCTAATTGTATTATTATTATTATTATTATTATTATTATTATTATTATTAAACACTGTATTTGGAAAATCTCAATAATTTTTAAAAAAAAAGAAAGTGGGAAATGCTAGACTGAGCTTTAGCTTCATGCATGGAAATGTACATAAGTAGGGCAGGTTCTACTTCTATATTCCGTCATAGAGATAACACACCTCTGTATTTTGCTGCATTCATGCACACGAAGAATTCATTATTAATAATGACCTTTCCACAAACTGACACACAGAGAGACATTTTTCTGCAACCTGTATTAAGTGATAAATAAACATGATACAAAGAGTTCTCTCTTAGAGCTCTCCTAGTTACATTAATACTCCTTTCAAACACCATTTAAAAATATCCTGTTGTTTACAGGCAATTTGAGAAATAAACAAGTGCTTGACTCCCGACTGTTTCTATTGTTTCTTGTATTCTAATGTGTGGCTGAATATATGGTAAATAAGGGATTCTTTACACACCTGAAATTTGTGAAATTAACTGTGTCAAAGATTATTGGCTTTCTTGAACTCTTGTGAGGAAGGCTATATTAATGGAAAACAATAAGTATAGGAGAATTTTCAGTTCAATTGATCTTTGGAGTAGAAACCGGAGGGCTGTAGAAAATGAATGAAGCTAAGCCATAGTTGGCTGTTATCTAGTGATGTTGTGCCTTGCACAAGTGAAGCAAGATGACTTTTTAAAACACCATAAATGAGATGGAAATATGCATGCCATAGCTAGCACAACCCAAACTCACAATTACCTGAAAGTGATGAGGCCAGTGTAAAGGAGGGGAAAAAACAGCATGCACGCAATGACTCGCCATAACCCATTATCAACACTCAACTTCCCCCACCAAACTTTGGTTAAGAAGGCCTGTAAAAGAGAAAGGAACAGCACCTTGAGAACAAGGCACAATGCAAGTTATTGAAGAAGACTGAGATTATGTGAAAATAGCAATACGGGCTTCTTAGGTGTGAACTGATGTCTCTGGGGTAGCCAGAACAAAAACTGGAGATGATTCCTGTACCTTTCATAGTTGTGCAGAAGAGGGAATTTCAATAGATGTTGTTTGTTACTTGTTAGAGTAATAAAAACACCTGCTGGAAGGTTTTCCTTTACAAAGCAATTAAAAGAACACAGGCCACCCTGTTTTCAATCACATATGGAGTTGGCCCTCCATATCTGCAAGTTTAACTTATGTGGATTTGATTAATATAGCCTCTTAGAAATCTCTGGGTTCTCCTTTTTTGGAAGTTGTCCATACAGCTTCACTGTGGGACCAAGAGATTCCCAGAGAGCTGCCTTTTCAGGTAAAAAACACAACATTAAAAAACAACAACAGTTTTTTGACTTGTACAGGAGTCCTGTGCCCTTAACCAGGGAAGCTGGAGGGTTGACTGTACTATTGTTTCACCTATTTTGGAAGCATTACTCATGAAATATTGGGAAACATGTAACATAAGGAGCTTGGAAATGTTATTTCCTACAAGTCTCTATCCCAGTCAAATGATAAGCTGAATTTAAGGAGCTGTAGTTCAAAAAAGTAATATTTCCCTACTCCATTCTCCATCACTTGACCATGTTGTATTTCTACTGCAAGTGGTCTACAATCCAATTACTGTAATGGATTTTCTTTCTCCCTGGAGTAATGGAAACTATAGAAATTAAAGGGACAGAGATAAACTCTTCATCAGTAGCAGCAACTGGGAAAAAACTATTGTTCAAAGTATTTTTGAATATTTTTTGAATATATTTGAATATATTAGAAATCATGTGACTAGAAAAGGGAGGATAACTCAGGATTCCTATAGTTGCAATAGCCCAATTTAAAGGGTAAGTCATGGGTGATGTTTCCCTAAATACTGATTCTTCTATGCATATCTGAGTCAGTGTGCTATAGTAGTTGGACTACAACTTTGAAAACTAGGGTTCAAATTCCCATTTGGCCATGGAAACTCACTGGGAAACCTTGGCCAAGTCACACTCAGCCTGAGGAACAAACCTCCTCTGAACAAATCTTGTAAAGAAACCCCTGTGATAGGGTCATCTTAGGGTCATCATAAATCAGAAATGATTTGAAAGCACATAACAGCAAGTAAGGAAGACAATGTATAGTGTAAGAACTACATATTGCATGATTATTAGAAGTCAGGCAAGCATTTCTCCAGATGGAAAATCCCACAATATCTGCTTTGAACTGGGTTATCTGAGCCCACACTGTCATATATTCTAGTTCAAAGCAAAAAATGTGGGATTTTATTCAGCTGTGTGAAAGGGGTCTAAATATATTGTGTTTTGCCTGTTGTGAAAACACTGCAAATGAGCAAAATCACACCTGGATGCCTCCATGAGACACAAAATTCATATTTTTAGCCTCCAAAGCTAGTTGTAGGCAGGTGGTCTTGCCCCAAGCATCAGAGACACGGATCAAGAGCTTCTGGGATCGTTCTTCATCTTTCCGATAACATTCAGTGAAAACACCTATAAGAACAAACTTTGATTAAAAATATATATTATTCTTGTTTCATTTCTATGCCAGTATTTCTCTGAGAGGCTGAGATGCATTTTAGCCCTAGTACAGATTTAGTAGTTAAGGCTGAGCCTGTCCTGGATTATCTAAGAAACTTCATAATTTTTCCCCAAATAAAATTTGCTAAAGAGCTACCATAAGTGAAGTTTGCAACAAACATTACATGGTATATAAACATCTTTCTCAGCAATGGAAATACAAAATGCTGTCTGCCCTCCAGAACCCAAGAGTTGTTTTTTTCTGCATAGTAAAGGTACACTGAATTCTGCTTTATGGCGGCCATTTTCCTGATAGAAGAACCAGTGGGAGGTGTACCTTCATAGTAATGACTAGTCTTTTTTTGTCTTGGGTGATACCATTCCATAAAAAACAATGCTGCAAACACTACCTACACCTGGGCTATGGCTGTGCTCACTTTTGGCTCTGGCACACCATTGGTTTGGATCTGACTCACCACTGGCTTGGCTTACCAATAGAAGCTTAGTAGATGGAGCCTCTGAACTATATTTCTTCTGGTCTTTCATAGAAATTATTTTTCTACCTTTGCTTTAGTCACTGCTACTCTACAGCTGAAAGAAAAACTGTAACTCTCTGTAGGGCTGCCTGGCACTGATAGTTTAAGGAAGAAGGGGAATTAAGTATATGCATTCAGTGGTGGTGACAGTGATAGGGAAGCACTGTATAGCAGAATCAAGTAGGGAAATGTCAGACTTGATCTAAACATTTGCCTGCTGTTCATATTATTTCTGCCAGAGGAAAAACATGTAACATTCCTGCATTTCAGTCCAAACTGAATCCCTGGGATCTGTGGCAGTAGTGAGATTTTAGTAGTGTAGATGGGAATGACAATGTGGAAATAGAAGTATAACAGTGTGCAATAAGTTAGAGAATTTCCTGTTTCATGAGCGTCAAAAAGTCAACAGAGGGTAGAGGATGAAATCAGAAAAGAATCAGTCCATAATGTAGAAACATGGCTCAGAAACATGGTTCAGGGGTTGCTCATCTGTCTACAAACTCAGCCCAGACTCACCAATGGCTCGGTGTTCATATTCCTCTGCCAGGGCAAGCATTTCCTCAGTGCTATCCGTGTCAGTTTCCTCTTTAGATAATTCCTTCAGTATCTTGCTGCAGGCCAAAGCTGCTGCAATGCAGTCCTGGCTCTGATGCAGAAAGACTCAGGTTAGCAAGAACACAGTATTTCTTGTCCCAGGTTGACCGTGTGACCTTCAGAAGTCCTCTGTCTTGGATGGTTGATTCAAAACAGATCACTTTCCCCATTGCTAATCAGCAAACATCTTTGCTTCTCTCAGCTTCCTACTGATTTCTCTGTGCCCTAGCTAGAACCTAGTCCCCACAGAAGTGATAAATCTATATGTTATTTTGAGCCAAAGCAGTTCAGATTGCAGATGTGGGTTTGTAGAAATGAATGTGTGTGTGTGGTTTTTTTGCAAATAATAATATAAATTGTATTTTTAAAATAGTTTCTATTTTTTTAAATAAAAGTTTGTTTGAATGGAAGAATTTTCAATTACATGAGGTCACAAACAGCAGCCTGGCTATAGGAAGACCTCAGCAAGAACTAAGTCCAAGTCTTCTTCCTTAGCTCATATGCAAAAGATGTCCTCCATTTCTACTATTTAGAAGACTGCTACTAAATAGCATACAAGGCCAAAAATCCTATCTGGAAGAGGTCTGAGAACAGGATAGTTTACCTGGGCCCAGATGATTTCAGCCAGTTCCTTGCGGCTTTGGACAACTGCCCAAATAAGCAAATCCCTCACAGGATCCATGGTGAATGTGACCCGTCCAGGAGAACGTTTGTAGAGGGATCGAAGACTTACTCCTTGTACCTATGGAAGAAAAAAGAACCAGTAATTAAATCTGGATTGTAAAACAGTTGCTCTGACAGTTAGCCATAGAGAGAGAGAAATAGACGATTGGATACATTCAATTAATAAAATAAACATTTAAAAGATAAAGGAAATGCAATGGAAAATCCAGACAAAATGGTATAGAACTCCTGTGCAATTAGCTCATATAACTAGCTCATATGTGGAGAAGAGCAAACCACTGACCACCTGCTGCAATGCAACCTGAGCCCTGCTACATGCACAATGGAGGACCTCCTTGCGGTAACACCAGAGGCACTCCAAGTGGCCAGCTACTGGTCAAAGGACATTTAATCAACTATCAAGCTTGCAAATTCTGTGTTTTGTCTGTCTGTTCATTTGTTTTTGTTAAAAATGTAATACAAATGTCTGGTTGCTGATGACACAATAAATAAATTGCTCATATAACCAGAAACTCCCCAAAACAATGTTGGCACAACTGTGCGAAAACTAAAACATACACCTACATGTGGTGGGATTGTGAAAAAATACAAAAGTTTCATAAAATAATTAAGAAGAAAATGTAGGAACTATTAGGGATAAAATTAGATTGGAACAAGAAACATTTTTTTCCTCCAGAAAATTGAAGGCGAAGGGGGATCTAAAGAATGGGAGTGATTAATAAATTACATGATAGATGAAATTAAAGCCTCAGTCACTTTAGGCTGGAAGGATCAAAAGAAATGGGACACAAAAACATGGTATAAATATTTAGCAGACTATGTACTCCAAGACTACATTAGCGAAAGGAAAAGTTACTACAGGATGGGCGAAATCAGGAAGTCATGGGAGGCAAAATAGAAAGAGGGGAAATGATGTAAACATGTGTTACCAATGGAAAATGTTTTGAATGTTTGTATAATTTTGTGTGGCACTATTTACAATAGTTTTGAAAATTAAAAAAAAATCCTACACCCCCCCCCCCCCTTCCCCAAAGTTAGTCATAGAGTTGCACTGGAGGATCTAGCGATTCCTAAAGGAAGCAAATTAATTAAATCTGTGAATAATCAAATCCATACAAGTTAAACCCACAAATATAAAGGGCTGAATGTACAATTTCTACAATGCCTTACAACTGGCCATGCTCAGTGAAGCTGAGGGAATCATCAGTCAAAGTATTTGCATGGCCAAATATTCCCACCCCTTCTTTGAGAGCTGGTCATCCATTGCAGTGTTGACTGCAATGACAATTTACTCTTAAGATTTGGTACAGTGGTTACTGCTACATAAAGAAAAAGGAAGCATGAACAACCCTTTTTGGGCTGGGATCCCCTGACAGATTAAGAGACTATTAGCATGTAGAGATACGGTACATTGAGTTTTATATGAGGCACAGCAATGGAGAGACGGTGTTGCTCGGTGTTCTTCGGCTTGGGGTACAGTTGCTGTGTGAAGTCTCCCAGCAGCTCTCTCAGCACATGGGACACATGGTGCATCTGGATCTTGGGCACTTTGGAGAAGGCTGAGCGCTCTTTCTCTTCCTGCAACACCTTCTGCAGCTTCCCATAGAAGACACTAGACGGTGCCAAGTTTTCATAGAGGTAGATCAAAGCATCCCAGGTCACAAACTCCTTCAGGCGCACTCCTTGTTCCAGAAAGAGTTTCACAAAATCTGGCTTGTTGCCTATGAGAGCAGCTGCCATTACAGGATGCAGATCGGAAGGCTGTTGGATCGGGAAAACAACCAGAAGGTAAGAGCATCAATATAGGGCAATTGACCCAGTCTGCTTTATTCAGGGCATGGGAAGAGGGAGTAAGAAAAAGAAGCTCAAGGACAGGAAACATGGCACATGTAGTAATAGGAGCAGCTGCTTGAAACAGCTGCAGCATGTGGCACCAGTTACAACTGGCTGCTTCTGTATCAGGGATACTGAATCTACTCCAGGTATTAGTCTAAATTTTAGGGGAGCTACCCAAGGTGCCAGACTGTATCTCCAAGGAAAGTTCAATGCATTGCATAATTGTTTTAAAGTTTGAAATAAAACTCATTTACTACTCCACTGACATGGAAGGTGACCACTGGATGAGATCTGCAACTCACTCCAGGAAGCAGAAGGAAGAATGTGAGGAGAAAGGAAAAGATAGCATATCTCCCGTCTGGTGCACATTTATGCTGCAACAAAATATGAAGACTAAAAGCAGCTCCAAGTAAACAGAGCATGCTGATGCTGTCAAAGCATAGCTTTTTTTCTCTCTAGCACAATGCGATGGATACACGAGAAGCCTAACTTCTGTCAGCATGCTAGCCTGTGGGATAAGACAACAAACATGGGTAAATTATGCTTGAGAGATAACAACCTTCCACGGTAACACAGTTTCCCCCTTCAAAAAGTAACTGGATATTGACTGCTATCACAGGCAAAACATGTTATTACATGGATAGTAAGCTGTGAGATCGATGTTAGGTAAGGTACAATTTCACTTCAAGTGGAATTCTACATAGCTATGCTGTCAAGTGTTGCAACCATTGGGTTGGACAGTTTCTATTATTATTCACACAAATTCTATAAAATGATAAACGTATTTGTTTTTTTACAATGCCTTGAATGTGTGAAGCTGCACTCCTGAGTAGGTGGCATAACCGCCCTCCTGCTGTGTTGTTTCCCCTCTTTGTTTCTTTTCTTTTTAAAAAAAACCAAATACAATATGCTGCATGGTTTTAGGAATTGTTTTTAACAGTTTCTTACTTGTTTTAATAACTGTAATATTTAATTCTATTTTAATTCTATATTCTGTAGGGTTGATGTGTGTTTTCCTGGCTGTATGGCCATGTTCTAGAAGCATTCTCTCCTGATGTTTCACCTGCATCTATAGCAGGCATCCTCAAAGGTTGTAAGGATACCTGCCATAGATGCAGGCGAAACATCAGGAGAAAATGCTTCAGTAACATCAGGAGAAAATGCTTCTGTACTGACCGGAAAACACACAACAACCCAGTGATTCTGGCCATGAAAGCCTTCGACAATCTATATTCTATGTCTTGCAAGTTTTTAAATTGTATAGCTTTAAGGTTGTGAGACACTTTTGGTCTCAATTCATGGAGAAAAAGGAGTAGTAGTAGAAGTAGTAACAATAAAAATAAGCATTATTCTTATTCCCTAGACCAGGCATAAGCAAACTTTTTTGCTTTGGGACCACATTGTGGGCCTGGCTGAGAGGGCCTGGCTGGGCTGGGAGGATGGGCGGCTGAGCATGTGCTGGATGGGACAGGTCTGGAGGGGGGGGGGGAGAACCTGGGAGAGGGCAAGGCCAGGTGGGGATGGGGCAGGACCCAGGTCATCCTCTAGTTGTCCTCACATAAGGATGGGGCTGCTCACCCCTTCCTTATGCTGGAAGGAAAACGAGACATGCGGTGACTCCACCAATCCTCCTCCATGATCCTCCTCCTCACAATCTTCGGGCTGTCCTCTCAGCATTATGCCAGAAGGAAGGTGAGACAAGCGATAGTCGAGAGCACTCCAAAGGGCTCTTAGCTACTGTGTGCCTTCCTCAGGCTGTCCTCTCAGCATAAGGACTGCTTGCACCGTCCTTATGCCAGGAGGAGGGCAAGACATGCAATTACTGAGAGTGCTCCAGAGGGCTCTCAGCTGCTGTATGGCTTCCTTCTCCAACTTTTCTGCATAAAGATATGGTGGACCACCAAGTCCTTATGTCAAGAGGACAGGGAAAATGAGGAGGGCCTGAGGTAAGCATCTTTCATCTGGCCCCCGGGCCTTAGTTTGCCTATACTTAGTTTGCCTTTAAGTGTGCAGCGTGTAATCGAATACAAAAGCCAGCATAGTGATCTTGTTTGGTGTATACTAATCTGGTTGTGTATCAAATAATAATAATAAGCATTCAAAATCATGCTAATGCCTTCCCAATTCAAATCAAGACAGCAGTCAAGGCAAGGCTAGTACTTCAACTCCTTGGTATTATTATCAAGACAGAAAAAGGCATGTTCACTGGCAACACATAATCTCCACTCTCCCTACCTTCCATTCATGATCATCAGTGAAAATCTCACTTCGGGCAATATCCACTCTATTCCATGCCACTGCTAGCTTCAACTGGTGATCCCAGTTCTCATGGCCAAAGTGATCACGGTATCGAGAAGCTGTAATAGCAGAACAAATAAGAACAGGACTAAAAGTGAGTTATAAACACACAATACACATTTGCGTTTGGATGGCTTTTAAAGGGACTGGATACATTCATAGAACATAGGCCTCATCAATTACTAGTCTGGAGGGCTACATATCACTTTCCGTATCAGAGAGAATAGGATTAGTTGCTTGGGAGCTCAAAATGGAAGTTATACCTGCACTTAAATCCTGCTAATGGATTTTCCATGGATATTATGTGAACAGAATATTGGACTAAATAGGCCTGCTTCTTGTTATGCTCACTTGCATGCATTTGGAACTTGAAGGTACAAATGCAAGGAAGATAAACATATTTGAGGACAACACAAAGATGGCCCTGGTCCAGATTGCTAATCCAAATCTGCTTCTATAAATAGATGGTGTTTAGTGAATATAAGCTCCTTTGTTCCACAGCCAACATAGCTATTCAAAAGTTTGCCAAATTCTAGGTATTTTATATATTTATTCATTAAAGGTAGACAAGAAAGATATTCTTGTTTGTTGACACTGAATAGATGGGATGAAACAGGAATGTAGACATTTCAGTGTGTTTTTATTGCATTTTTCTATATTGGACTGAGTATTCCAATGTTTGTTTGTTTTTGTTTTTTTGGAAGGGTGGGGGTGTAGTTTCCTGCTGTGAACCACAACATTAATAATGAAACACAATGAATCAAATGAAGGATTATTGTGCCAAATCAATTTGTATTCCTCTGGGTATTCGTTCAACATCTGTCTTCTGTATGGAATATCAAGTTTCAGAGCATGATACTAGAAATCACTTAGACTATACTTTATAGTAAGACCAGGGAACCTATCATCCTCCAGATGTGTCCAGATTACAACTCAAGTCATCCCCCAGTCCTGGCCAGTCCATGCCTCTAGTACTTACACTAGAGCAGAATAACTACAGGTCATTTGGAAGAGATTACAAGGACATTCAGTCCAACCAACAATCCAACTGCTTCCACAAAAAGAAACTTTGGAAGATAAGTAAGTCATTACACATCCAACATTCTCCACAATAGTGAGGTGTTCTCTCCAAGGCTCACTACGTTTCTCACCTTTGAGCATTGCCTGAAGTATGGCCACATCAATATCCTGTTGCTCATCTTTGCCTTCCCTGAAGATGGTCAAGAGTTGCCTGTTTCGCACAATATCTTGGATCTGGAAGGAATGCCAAAGGAAATACAAGACCGCAATGGAGTAGAATGGAATGTGCTTGCCATGAGGTTTTTGTAGTCACAATTGGAGCTTCAAACTGGTTCTAGGATTTCCTTTGTAATCATCTGCACAGTGAAACAACTTCTTTGAAAGTTGTTTGAAACTGCATTAAATAGTTAGTGTATATCAGTGTTCTCTCAGATATACAAAAATCCATTTTCCCCACGTGTGCAGGGACTTGAGCCCCTAACCCTAACAACTGTATATTTAAAGTGCGAACATATGTATAAAGCTATGAACTGCCTATCAGTTCATGGTGCAACATAACCATCAGACAGCAGCTGAAATCTAAAATGGGATTGATTTGTCTTACTTTTTTGGTCCATTCCACGATTTTGCTCTCTGTGAACTGCTCATAGCTATCCTTGAAGAATGTGCTCAGTTTCCTCTGGATACATGAAATGCTTATTTTGGAGATGGGAAGGTTAGCCACATGAGCAATGACGTCAGCCACACGTCCTGAGCCTTCCACAACCACACAGGGAGTGCCGTTTGTAATTGCATTGTAGATGGTCTACAGAAGGAGAGAATGGCTGTCTGTATACCCGTTATACAAAATATCAGAATCAATTTTCAAGTTACACATGAACAGAAAATTTAAAAAATAAAATGATATAAAGGAATCAATAACACCATTGCGACTGAAAAAAGGTCTGGTATAATCCTTGGATTCACTGTGCATCTACAGTAGAATTAATGCAGTTAGACATCACTATGACTGCCATGGTCCAATACTATCTAATGTTTTATAGTGCTTTTCTTTCCACCAAGGATAATCATCATCATCTTTATTTATATCCTGCCACCATCGCCCCAAAGGGGACCCGGGACAGCTAACATGAGGCCAAGCCCAAAAAATACAGTGCAAGATAATACGATACAGAATACAAAAACAAAATTTACATCAGAAAATAAGTACTGTAGCAACACAAAAGAATAAAGCAAATTAACACAATATAAAAGTCAAAGTCAAACTGGAAGGGCAGGCCAGATGAACAAGATAAAATGATAATATGATAAAACCCTGGGTGCGGCAGGATCCCTCCTTCATGCCAATAGACAATGGACTCTGGGTCTTATAGTTCTTGACACAATAAGGAAAATATGTCTGTCTCTTAGAGTGCCTCTACACTTGTGGAATGCAGTTTGATACCCCTTTCATTTCCATGGCTCAATGCTATGGCATGCATCAAAATCTGCAGACATTCTACAATGGAGCTGACATATTTAAGCCACCTTTCTGCATGCAAATGTGCAAGAGAAATAAATTGGAGAAACTAATTTATGAATATTCCCTTAATTCATATTTTTCCAGAAAATTAAAGCTTGAAACCTTGTTATATCCTGCCTCAAGCTATGAAAAGAGGGAGGTAACAAATGATTATTGTTGTTATTGATGTTAATAAATAATAATAATGATGATGATAATAATATAACCTAATATTTGTGCCCTGTTGGTTGAAATTGAGGTTCATACCAGATCCTGCTGGCAAAAATATGACACTTGTATCCTGTAACTAGGAGAGCCCCTGGTGGTGCAGCAGGTTAAACTGCTGAGTTGCTGGATGAAAGGTTGGCAGTTTGGATCTGGGGAGTGGGGTGAGCTCCTGCTGTTAGCCCCAGCTTTTGCCAACCTAGTAGTTCAAAAGACATGCAAATGTGAGTAGATCAATAGGTAAGGCTTTGGCGTAATGGCACTCCATGCAGTAATGCCAGCCACATGACCTTGAAGGTGTTTATGGACAACGCTGGCTCTTTGGCTTAGAAATGGAGATGAACATCATCCCCCAGAGTCAGACACGACAAGACTTAATGCCAAGGGGAAACCTTTACCTTTATCTTGTAACTAAAGCATATTTTCTCACATCTCTTGCAACACTAAATCTGTTTGCTGGGAGTGAGATAAAAAGAGATGCCATAGATTAGTCATAACTCAATGTGCCCACTCATGCATGTCAAAAAGAAAATTATGCATGACTTGCATTTTTATGCATTTTTGAAGTGTCTACATGCAGATACTACCTACCTAACAGGAAGTCTTAGTCATGTTTTGTTTTTCCCCATACCTAATTGTTCTAGGGTACTTACGTCAAGCGTCCCAGGGCCACCCTCCAGTACTACACAAACAATTGGTATTTTAATGGCAACCCCTGTAAGGAAAGGAAGGCTTAGTCAGTCATATACACCCAAGTATATAGCTCTTGTCCTGCTCTTCCTGCTGGTAATCATCACTGCAGGGACACAGTTAAGGAAACTGATTAATTAGCATTTATAACAATGAACAAATAGTAACAACAGCACAATAAAGAACCCAACTTCAAGCCACTACGTGTTATATGGCAGCCCTTTATCAGCCAAACTATTTTAAAAAAACACACATTCAGCACTCTGGACAACTCCTCACTGTCTCGCTAACATGGAAGCCACAATAGCTACCAATGTTCCATTAACAAAGAGCATTCTTAAGATCATCACAATCTCTCTTGTTGTAAGCTGCCCCAAGTCCTTTTGGGGTGAGTGTGCGGGATATAAATAAAGCTATTATTCTTTATTATTATCCCTGGACTTTCATCTGAAGCCAGCAAGACCTAATGGATAACAACAACAACAACAACAACAACAACAACTTTATTTTTGTACCCTGCCTCCATCTCCCCAAAGGGACTCGGGACAGCTTACATGGGGCCAAGCCCAATCAACATAGTTAAAATAGCACATTGAAATTCATAAATGCAGCAACAGCGAAGTAAAACAACAATGGCATAACACAATATAAAAACAACCATCCAACAGACAAGATATCTCTGGTTTACACTGCCATTACCTCCTTTCACTTTGGTTTGCTCTGAAATGAACTTCTCAAGTCTGGTCCTCAAGGGGATCTCCACACCATACTTCCCATGAGTGCCATCATCCACCAGGATGAAATGTGAGTGGTTATTATTCAGGCAAGAAAGATTTCCTTGGGTCTCCTCATCCATCACATATTCAGCTGGGAAGCTGCCCTGCAACCATCCAAGTGGAGGGAAAAATTTTCACAAACTGACAGGGGCTTATTTATTGGAGTTCTTAATCCTTGCTTGAGGAAGGTTTTGTCTAACCTGCAAAACACTTTTGCTTTCAGATCAGTGATCAGAAGTTAAGAGTATTTAAAATTCATTTAGAATTTAAATTAACTTTTAAAAAGGTGAGCTATGCCCTGCCCATGCTTAAAAATCATGCTTTGCATGCCTCAAAATTATAGTCTACAACTATTTGGACTCACCATAGGGCTTATGAGGCTACTACGGTTGTATACTGTTCCCCATGTGGCAATCCCAACGGTGACAATCTCTCCTTTAAAGCTGCTGCTCATGCTGAAGTCCCTTACTGCTTCTCCAACTTGCTTCATCACACCGGCATGAGAACCACCAGTGATGATCCAGGCACCTGTGGGCACAGAAAAAGGTTGAATGAAGCCAGGTCCTTACCACATACCACTCTCAACACTGCCAGTCTAATCAGACTACAGAACTATTATTATTTAAAAAAATTGGACATTTACATCCCGTCCTATCTCGACCTCTGCACAGTGACTCAGGGTGGCAAACAACCAGCACAGCGCGGTGCCCACAGCAAAAAGCATAAATATACAAATTAAATAAAAACAATATAAAACAGTATAAAAACATTCAAACAATCACTGAATTAAGTAATCATCCTAAAAGCAGTCCGTCCAAGTCCATTAAAGCTGTAGCTTTGCCAGCAAGTCAGCCTAGTCCGCAAAGGCCTGATCCCACAGCCAGGATTTCACTTGTTTCCAAAAGGTCAGAAGAGATGGAGCAGATCTAATTTCGCTTGGAAGGGAATTCCACAGCTCAGGGGCCACCACAGAGAAGACCCTGTCTCTTGTCCCCACCAGACGTGATTGCGATGGCGGGGGGACAGCAAGCCTTCCTGAATGATCTTAGGGTCCTAGGTGGGTCGTAGCAAGAGATATGTTCGGACAGGTAATCTGGGCCGGTTCACACAGCCATATAACCCATAATACTCAGAAATTTACAATATATAAATTTACAATATATATGGATTGTGTGAGTCCACACTGCCATATAATCCAGTTCAATGTGGATTTTATACAGCTGTGTGGAAGGAACTTCAGTCCAGAAAGAGATAGAATGTGGGAACAAGGAGAGGGTGAATGGCAGGATTCCTAGGGGTTGGAATGTTAGGCCTATCCTGGGTAAAGGAATCAGTCACACCAATTTCATGTATATTTGACTTTGGCTTTAATTCTTGCTTTATAGTGATCAGAAATTGAATTGGAAGCCCAAATACTGAGGAAAATAAATGAAATCATAGACCCTTTCCCATTAGCTTTGGGTCAGGATGCTGCCTCACCTGTTGTCTGGGCCACTTTGACAAGCCCTCTTCGGAAGATGTTCTTCAATCTTAGCTTCATGTTGAAGTTTTTAGCTCCGCCTGTTACAGATATTAAGAGGTTGGGTATTTCAAGACCCCAGTGCTGTGTCATCAGCTGATAAATTATTCTTGGTGGAGTGCTATTGGACACGCGAACATACTGCAGTGAAAGAACAAAACATAAAAGGAGCACCTGTGAGAGCATGATTTTGCCACTTAGCAAAAATGCTCTACCTCATAAGAGACCCAGTACACCACTAGTTCCTATTATAATGAAGTGCTTAAGGTGCCTTTTAGAATCAATCACTTATTCCAAAAACACATATAAAATTTAACTGCAAGAAGTCATGGAAACAGCAGGGCGTAAATCTAGCCCCACAAGTAATCTGCGAAGAAGGAAAGGGTGGATTTGTGGTGTATTGCTCAAATTGACACACAAGAATTACAGGAGGCTGGGCTTCAAATCCCCCCTCAGACATGGAAACCCTTTGGGTAACATTGACAAGTCACATCAGCTCAATCTAAGTGGAAGGCAATGACAAACCCTATCTGAATAAATCTTACCAAGAAAACGGTGACACAGGATCACAATACATTCAAGTCGACAGCACATAGTCAGAACAATCTTTTGACTGATAATATTAGAAGTTGTCTGTCAGGACAACAACTTGGTTTTATCTGGGTTTATTCTACGGTATTGGTATGACGCAGGCATGGGACTATACTTGGGGGCCGCATGGCGGGCCGGGCAGGGTGGGTGGACCAGGAGAAGGGGGTTTCTCCCCAAGTCACCTCCCTTTCCTTTCCTCCCTTTCCTCTTCACTTTTGGAGGCAGAAAATGAAGGAAAGACAGAAAACATTTGGATCCCAAAAGGGTTGGTCTTGGTCAGGATGAGATAGTGGGTGGGATAGTGGACAGGAGAGAAAAAGTATATCCATTAGGCCTACTCCTGTGATATAGAATTCTAGAGTTGGAAGAGACCTCAAGGACCATCCAGTCCAACCCCTGCCATCCAGGAAGTCACAATCAAAGCACTCCCAACAGACAGCATCTGCGGAAAAGCCACCAGAGAAGGAGACTCCACCACACTCCAAGGCAGCCTATGCCACTCTCCAGGAGGTTCTTCCTAATCTTTTCAAATCTCTTTCCCTTCCATATGAAACAATTGCTCCCTTGTGTCCTAGTCTCTAGAGCAGCAGAAAATCAGTTTCCCCCCTCCTCCTCAATGGGATGCCCTTTTAAATCTAGAAACATGGTTCTCATGTCCCTCTCTACCATATCTTTTCCCAGGTAAACATCTCCCAGGAGGAAAGGAGGAAGGAAAAAGAAAAAGAAGGGAGGGAGGAAGAAGAAGAGAAGGATGGAAGAAAGGGAGGAAGATAAGGAAGGAAGGAAGGAAGGAAGGAAGGAAGGAAGGAAGGAAGGAAGGAAGGAAGGAAGGAAGGAAGGAAGGAAGGAGAAAGGGAGAGTGGGAAGGAGAGAGGGAAGAGGGAAGGCAGGAAGGACAAAATTGTGGAAGGGAGGGATGGAGGGAAGGGAAGGAGGGAGGAAAGAGGGAAGGAAAGAAGGATGAAAGGGTAGAAGGGAAGAAAGAATGGAAGGAGAAAGAGGGAGGGAAGAAAGGAGGAAGGAAAGAGAGAAGGAAGGATAGGATGGTGTGAGAGAGGAAAGCCTGAGAAAAGAGCCCAAGGGGCCACATCCGGCCCCTGAGCCTGGGTTTGCCCATATCTGGTATAATGGCTGAACCACACAAGAATGTGGGCAGAGACAATCACTTTTATCTTTACCAGTAATCAGCTATGTAATGAATGGGACAATACTAACTACTAGTGCCGAGTCTTGATATTATGCACAGCAGTTTGCTGTTCTGATGTCAAAACATGTTTGTCTGTCTTTAGTGAGAAAGGATTAGTGTGCACATGCTTGATATGTTTCTTCACTATCTTAGGATAAATGCACTGAAAAAACCACCCCATGTGACCAGGGGTTTTTAGATAGTAATTCCAATAAATACTCAGTATTAGTTATAGTGACAGGTATTACTAGAAAGTCTTGTGGCTTACTAACCTTTCAACTTACTGTGTCATTCCAGATATTCATTTTAAATTAATGGATTCTCGTTCTATGGCAGAGAGTCATGTTTCAACTCACCTTCCCTATCTTCTGCCCCAGGCCTGTGAAGCTGATGTCCCCAAAAGCATTTGTTGGCGTTTCCTGGACATGTCTTCTGGAATCCCATTCTTTGCCCTGGAACATGGTAGGTTTTATGGCTTCCTCTAAATGCTCCTCCCTGAGATAGCCACATTCACACACCACCTTGCTGTAAGAAAATGCCACCACAATCTCAGCATTTTTTGAGAGCCCAGATCCTAAAGGCACCAGACTCCATCTGTTCTTGGTAGTTAGGCAGGCTCGGTTTTGGCTAATACTTGAATGGAAGACAACAATGAGCAGTAGGTGCTGTAGGCTACATCTTAGAGCAGTAATTCCCAACCTTTTATTGACTAGGGCCCACTCTGATGAGGGCCCACTTGACCAGGGCTCACTTGACCAGGGTCCATTTTGACCAGGGCCCACTTGATTGGGGACCATCCATCATCCCCTCACAACCAATGGTAGTATCAAGTCCTGAACACTTAATTCAACCCAGACTGTCCCACTGCCAGCAGCAATCAAGTTCTCTGTGACTGGCAAAATAAAGTCCCTAAACTGATGCATGTGTCCCACCCCTGGGCAAGGCCCCTGGGAGATGGTATAATGCAGTAGCAAAAAAAGAAAATCAAAGCATGCAGAAATGGCCTATCCCACCTCTGAATAACCACAATAACTGTGCATGCAGATCAGTAATTATTTATTCATCTGGTCCCGTCTTTTCTTAACCCCCAACTAAAAAGGCAATGCAAAAAAGAACACAACAAAGCTCTTAAGTACAAATCAATTCCTAAGTACATGATGGTTGCTTGAAAAATCTTGTCCACAGAATCTTGTAATGGCAAGTTATTACAACAAAAACAGTTATTTTGAGTGTTTACTAGCACATGTTAACCACTGAAATCTATTTCCTTAGTTCTCAGCCATTACATAAATAGATATTCATGTAACTAATATAATAAATTACTTTTTATTTGTCTGGTTTACTGGCATTTTGAGTGCTATTTTACATGAATATTTTATAGATAATGACCAATGTATCAGAAAATTTCCACATTTTCCTTAACCATTAGACATCCTGATGGGATTTTATAATTTTTTACTATATCAGTCACCCTTAAATGATCTATAAATAATTAATGCACTGGTTGGTCAGCTTTGCTAATAACTATCAAGTTTCTAGAATCTATCTGAAATTACTTGCTCCTTCTTTATCCAATAAGCTTTAAAGATATATTTGGATTTAGCACTGATCATGATGTACAGTGGCTAGGAGACAAGATTGTTATAGAAGCGTTTCATATTTCAGATATTCCCAAATATAAATAGGAAATGGCACTTGGAATTAGAGAGATTCTTATACTACTGCACTCTTGGAATATTTGATGTAAGACAGCAAACCTGTAGTATTATTTCCTGCATGGAGAAATTTAATATGTATTGTCATCTTAGGAATGGACTATATTTCAACTGTGCTTCTGAGTATGTTAGCAGTCAATGGTTATAGCAACCTTCTTCAAGCCTCCACTAGTAATTTGTTTGTCTATTATTCTATTTGCTTACTGTATTATATATGTATGTTTTGGTATGCAGCTTTCCCTTTACTCTATGCTTCTTGAGGTTGTGGGAGGGGCTGCAAACCACATGATCAAATCTGAGACTGCTCAGACCTCAGACTCCATTAGACTCTCAGACTGTTAAGACTGTTAAGCAAACTCATGTTGCTGTTGATGCCCTGTGTTATCCGCACAGAGAAGCTACTTCAAACCTATCTGTAACTGGATTGACAAGTTATTAACCTGTATGCTGAATACACAAAGGTTGTGAGTAAACCAAATATGTTACTTTTAACGAAGTTACTTAATTTTTTTTCTCTTGAGGGAATGATATAGAAACAAAATGATATGAAACAAGTAAATTTTTTGGGCACTGAAAAAAAAAACTTCCGAACAACTGATATATTTTGTGCATTGTCATAATCTCTGTTCCTAACAGATCAGACACAACTAGGTTATCAGTCTAACAACTGAAACCCACATTGCCTTGCATAAGTACATGTGGATATATACCACTAAAGAGAAGATTTTATTCTAATGGGTTTTTTGGCTCTTCTCTGGAAGATCATACTTTTACAAAGGTTTATGATTTTCAAATGGTTGTGAATGCCATTTTTCTCCAAAAGGTAATGGAGATTGTGGTTTTCCAAAACCAATAGTGTCAGGTGAAAAGGAATAGCAATTTTTAAGCAGGACAGTAAACTTACCCAGAATCTGACATCTGAGAACTTTCGACAAAATAAGCACATTCCTTTTTTCGAATGTTTTCTGGGATCCATGAGCTAAGATTTTCCTGTGGAGAGAGGGAACAGGGAATGAAATGTTAGCAATCACAGAGAAGCAAAATGAAATGCAGTCAGCCCTCCAAATTTGAGAAGGTTACAGAACAGAACCCTTGTGAAAGGGGGAAAATATGAATACAAAAATGGGACAAGGCCTCCCTTGGAATTTCTAGATCTTCCAGCATGATTCTATGGATAATTTTGGTTGGAAGGTGGTAATAGAACCACGTTGAAAGACATAGATTTCTAGCAAGGTGTTCACTCTAGAAATATGTAGTTCCTCCAACATGACTAGAGAAGTTGACTACGGAGGACAAAAAGATTCCTAGAGAGAATATTTTTAATTCAATTTTCAAATCAAGTTAAAACTGAAAATGTGGAAAGGTGACTGTATATCCTTTCTGTAAACTGCAAATTTGCTTCATTTGCATGAATCACAAATCATGTTTTACTTTTCTTTTAAAGGGAGGTATCCTGATTTCAGAATTGTGCCATTTTGTGAGAAGGTCTATTCTCTTTAAGCTCACATCCCAACTTTCAATCCTGTTATGGTACATCTCCCACTGCCTTGAACTATCTTGTTTTTACATGAACTTGCCTTTTCATTGATGCCAGGAGTGAAATGAGCCCTCTTCTTGCTCTTGCTGAAGGCGCTGTTACTTCTTCTGAGGTTGGAGACCACATCCAGATCATAGTAGCTTCTGGGATAAACGGAGTAACTGTCTCCTTCTTCTGGGCAGACTTTGTTGAGATCTGTTGGAAGGGTTCGGATTCGTTTGCCTGGCCCAGCCATGGCTACATTTTACAGAACCAGCCACCAGACCTGTTAAAACACAGTTGGAAGAAGACTCTTCGAAATCATCAGCCTAAATATACAATGGATTACAAGCAATCCCTGTATTATAGAACACCAAAAAGGATTATTTGAAGGAATCACATCCAAAGAGAACTTATCTTTCAACTAAAGAATCTTGTGTTTAAAAAAAAATCCCACAGCACAGATATTTTCAAAGTATGGATGATGAAATCCATGGATATTGAGGGCCAACTATACATACATATGCTTGGGTCATAAGTATTCTGAAAGTGAAAGGGGATTGGATTTAAGAAAGGAAACAGAAGTTATAAATCTTTCTTACCTATAAGCAATTCTCCTAATCCAGATTGGGGTCTACTATGTTTACACATATGCCAGGAAAAAATGAGGTTTTGCAGCATATTATATCATATTTAACACTATTTACTTAGCCCTGAGAGACTACATTTTTAATTTGTGGCCATCTGACAGAATCATAGAATCATAGAATTACAGAGTTGGAAGAGACCTTGTGGGCCATCCAGTCCAACCCCCTGTCAAGAAACAGGAAAATCGCATTCAAAGCAACCCTGACAGGTGGCCATCCAACCTTGGTTTGAAAGCCTCTAAAGAAAAAGCCTCCACCACACTCCAGGACAAAGAGTTCCACTGCTGAACAGCTCTCATAGTTAGGAAGTTCTTCCTAATGTTCAGGTGGAATTTCCTTTCCTGTAGTTTGAAGCCATTGTTCCGCGTCCTAGTCTCCAGGGCAGCAGAAAACAAGCTTGCTCCCTCCTCTATTTTCTCTTGATTTACACTGCAGGCCCTTATCATGTCTCCTCTCAGCCTTCTCTTCTTCAGGCTAAACATATCCAGCTCTTTAAGCCGCTCCTCATAGGGCTTGTTCTCCAGACCCTTGATCATTTGCTCCCTCCTCTGGACACATTCCAGCTTGTCAACATCTCCCTTCAACTGCAGTGCCCAGAATTGAACACAGTATTCCAGATGTGATCCGATCAAAGCAGAATAGAGAGGTAGCATGACTTCCCTGGATCTAGACACTATACTCCTATTGATGCAGGCCAAAATCCCATTTGCCTTTCAAGCTGCCGCATTTTTGGCTCATGTTTAATTTGTTGTCCATGAAGACTCCAAGATCTTTTTCACACGTACTGCTATCCAGCTAGGCATTCCTTGTTCGGTGTCTTTGCATTTTGTTTTTTTCTGCCTAAGTGGAGTATCTTGCATTTGTCCATGTTGAACTTCATTTTGTTAATTTTTGGCCCATCTCTCTAATCTGTTACAGTCATTTTGAAGTGTGCTCCTATCTTCTGGAGTACTGGCTGAGTTCAGCAGAAAAAAGCCCTGCAATATTGGGGCCCTGGTCCTGCTACATTACATTTCCCATTATCCCTGGCCACTGACTATCCTAGTGACCTGATAAAGGAATAGGCTGGCTTAGAACAAGCCTGAGATAGTACAGTCTCAGTTTATAAGGCATAACTTCCTGGAGTGGTGCAGATCAACAGCAATCTAAGGCGAACTTTTAGATCAGAAAAATGGATGGTAAAATAGAGAATAATTGTAAACCTTACCAATTTACAATTAAATCGCTGTCAAATCTATCTGACTTTATGGTTCACATATTATTTCTGTCCAGGATCCAGTTCATGAGTTATATTGTTGTCTGCCTTTGAGACAGTAATTTTGAGTACACTTTCAAAGGAGAAAGTTCTTTTGAACTCTTTATGACTTCTCATCATGCAGTGCTGCTTGTGCACAGTACAAAGAACTAATATAACTCAAGCCATGTAATCCCACTGAGTTTTATTGGATTTATATACTGGCAAACTGCAATCCTTTACTCACTTTCTGAAAAGTACAGTACCACTAAATATAATGAAGTTTCTGAGTATATGTGTTTTGCTTGCAATTGGA